ATTCACTCTATCTATCATAAAAGAAATCTCAATATAGAGCAGGCTTGAAACAAATTTACAAAAAAGAATATGTTGCAATTATATCGTCAATGAAAATTAAATAAGGTCTATGTTTTGACCTGGAATTTTCTCATTAGTATACAAGAGACTATGGAATTGTAATTTGACAAAAAATTAGATTATTTTAGCTCAATGAATTTTTGAAATATTATACATAAAATAAAATAAAATTATTTACTGATTAGAAAATTAGAATCATGAAAAAGTGAAGAATATTTCTGCTACTCAAAATTATATATTTTTTTTTCTCATTATAAAGAAAGATTAACTGTCTGAAACGTAATGAGTAGCTATCCGTCAATCTTGGTAGAGATTTTCATTGAGCTACTTCATATTATCTAGAATGTCATGATTCTTGCACACAACAAAAAGTTTATTCGGTAAAGTGGAAGAGAATGATGAACACTGAAAAGAACAAGCAAAACACAAGACCTCGAGATATTAATAAAAGCGTAATATTTTTATTCCGTATATTATTAAGTATGGTTTGTTTCATTTGCAAGTTCAAACACGCCTAAAACCATAGAAATACTATCATATAATATACAAATTTTTTCATTCTATTTAAAACAACAGGAAAGAGTATTATATGGGCAACATCATCCGATAAAACTAAAGTACGTATATCTTAAGATAATGAACTTTTCTAGAGCTAATTTTTAGATAACTTCTTGAGCATGTCTAGATTTTTTAAAATCAAAACAAAGATTTACTTTTCATTAGTGGCGTGATCAAGGACAAATATACAAATGAAAAAAATGCACTTATAATTGAATAAGAAGTTCAAAAGTAATTTTTCAAACGCTACAAATCTTAAGTGTCTCTAGAAAACCAGTTTTTCGGAGTTTACCAAAGATGCGATTCGTATCATAGAGTCTATCCTAAAGTTTTCATATGGTTAGAGAGCTATTTGCTAATTATTTTTTAATTAATAGTCAATATTTTTACATATGTCTATGCTAAAAAAAATTTATTGGGAAAAATAATCCTTGTAACGGATGAAACAATATGTATGTTCTGTTTTGCTTGAAATAGTATATTTATTTGTTGTATTTAAATAAATAATACAAGAAGTAGAGATTTACGCAGAAGAATGTAAATCTTGATTTTTTCTTTAAGTTTATTTTTTTGAAGACAGTAATCTTTTTTTTTGTTCTATCTTGGATAATTGATATAATTATTAATTTGAGTATCACTAGTGTTTCTTTTTTTTTTTTCTATCATTCTAATTAAAATGTATTTTTTCATGTGCATTAGATGAATATATTACTTAAATAGAAAGTTCTTTGTTTTTTTATATATATATTAATAGGTTTTTTTTTTTTTGATAATTATTCTAACTTTTGTAGATGATACAAAAAAAGTTGAATCCATCTAATATGACATCTGTATATGACACAATTGTCTTGAAGAATCTTAAATTAGGATTACTTATTAGTTTTCAAATTCCATCAATTATTTCTCATATATTTATTATTTATCATTTAATATTTAATCGAAATCTACGACGAGCTCTTCATAATCATGTTATATTAATTTTATTAATTATAAATTTTCTTTTTATAACAACTGATTTATCAATAACATTTCATTTTCTTCGTTTTGGTTTTATAGAAAAAAATCAACGAAATTTATGTTTAGCATGGAATTTTCTTGATTTATTTCTTTCAAATTTATCAACATTTTTAATGATGTGGGCATCAATTGAACGTAATATACTTGTTTTTTATGATCGTCAATTACTTAATACAAAATATAAACGTTTTTTTTTTCATTATTTACCATTAATTATTCTTATTATATATACATTTATTTTTTATATAATTGTAATTTTTTTTAATTCATCTTGTTCAAATATTGAATATTTTATTTATGATGAATTATTTTGTGGTAAACCATGTTATGTACATAAAGATATTATATTATCATCAATTGATTATTTATTTCATAAAATTTGTTCATCTATATTAATATTTTTATTTAGTTTTATTTTATTACTTCGTTTTTTATGGGGTAAAAGACAACGTAATCAAATAATACGTTGGCGTCATCATAGAAAAATAACTATTCAATTTATATCTATATCAATATTATATTTTATTGGTACATTACCAGTTGCAATTAGTGAACTTTTACATATATGGAAAAATTTAAAAAATAATATAAAAGAATCAGAAATTCAAGAAGAATTTTTTCTTTATTTTTTTTACTTTATATCATTAATTTTACCTTTTGTATGTTTATTAAACTTACCTGAAATCTATTCTAAAATACCATTATTTATTTATTTTAAACGTCAATTAAATATACGTTCTATGAAACGTAGAAATCAAATAGCAATTATGACTACAACTATACCAAGATAGACAACTTATATGTTTTTTTTTTAATGATTTAAATTTTATTTTAACAAATAAAAAGACAAAAGAAAAAATGAAAATATCATTTTCATTATCAGAACGAAATATATGAAATTCATATATATATATAATAGAGAAAAATGCAGATCGATGTAATACATCAACATACGACAATTTACGGCAATGTTTCTTTGACCTGGAAATATATTGTTTTTTTTTCTTTCTCATGATATCAAGCACCCTACTTAAATTCAAATAGTGAATTGAATAGTCAATGAAGTTCTCTATCAAATACATTCGATAGCGAAATTTCGTAGATGATCTTCAAAAGCATAAAGTTCAGAATAAAATGTAGTCATCCCTCATTTTATTCAGGATTTTGCGCTTTTTAAGATAGTTTCTTTAACAGTCTTTTGGAATCTATAAACTACCATGTTTGGTTTTTCAGAAATCTTTCTCTCAGAGTTTATCTATGAAATTTTCCTATTGAATGCTTGGTATCAGAGAAAAAAAATTAAAAATACATTGATTTTATATTTTTGTAAAACACAATCTAAAAGATTTTGCAGTATAAGAATATAAATTTAGATCCTCATGAGTTACAGACTATTTACTTATTGAATCTCTGGAGGATGATGAAGAAATGTATCCCAAAATAGCATGAAATAATCTCTCTGTGATTAGCAACAACAACTACATCATATTTTATATTTTAATCTGACAGAGATTGTGCTAACAGCTTTTTGACTAATATTATATTTTCGTCTAGAGGAAAAGGTCTAATGAGCTCTAAAAACTATCAAAAATCTTAGTTAAGCGTATGTTTATTAATAGAGAAAATATTATCAAGAACATTACAAAGAAAAAGGAGAGACTCGCTCAGCGATGAAATCGATCTCCTCTTAAAATTGAGTTTCTCATTTTTTTCAATAGTCAATTTAGTTGTCAGAAGTCGATTGCCGTTCAAATTCGATCGTTAGATTTCATTCCAACTGCACGCGCATCTAACTCAAAACTCGATATTATCGATCTCATATAGCGTTATGTAATGTAGTGTTTATATGGAAAGTTTTTCTTCCTTGTTCAACTCCTTTTATTAAACTAATTTATCAAATGAAAGTTCTTTTTTGTTCTCCTATCGAATGGCATCTAGAAGTATGACAAAATATTGTTCTTTTCCTTTTTTTGCTTTGATTATACTGGCTCTCTTTGAAAACAAATGATATATTTGAAATCAATATGAAACGCTGAATCGATCTACATGTGCGATAAAATCCTCTGACACTCCGAGTTACGCTAAAAAAATAACGTCAATTTAACTGTAAAATATCACTTCTAAGCTTTTAAATAACCTTGAAAAACTCAACACGACAGATGAATAACTAATAAAAACGATATTTTGACTGACTCTATTTTTCGAGTTAACTCAGTTTTTTATGCTGATTCCAAATATAACATTTGTTTTTATAAAAAGCTTGATGATTATTTTAATCAAAGCGGAATAAATATTAGCCAATGAAAAGGAAACTTCCGGCACTCATGAGCATTGTGCGTTTAAGTAGAGTGTCGTACCTACAAATTAAGTTCAAATGCAATAGTATCATTTTGTAAAGTTTTGAAAAGCCTATTGAACGATATATATAATCCAAAGTGGATCATTACTTTCACAGATCAATAGGAGGAAATTTTATCATGGCTGTTCACATACTGTATATACGAATGAATAGCATCATCTAGACAAAAAATGTAAAGAACAAAATTTTGTTATACTCCTGTATGTCCTTTAATAGATGATAGACAGAGCTTTCATTTGATATTTTAGTTTAATTAAAGGTGTCGAACAAGAAAGAGAAACATTTCATATAAATACTGTAGGAGTTCGATAATATCGAGTTTTTATTCTGGTGTACACAGTCGAAATGAAGTCTAACGACCTGATTCGAACGGTAATTGACTTCTGACATCTGAATTGACTATTGAAGAAAATAAGAAACTTAATTTTTGAGAGGAGGTCAATTTTATCGCTTAATGATTCCCTCTTCCTGCTTTAATACAGCTGACATAATACATTCTATAGCCATGAAAAAATTCTGAATGCTTTATCTTTCATGAAGAATTGAGAACAATATCATATGTTAATGACGCTGATTTATAACACACATTAAATCATTCTTTTTGTACTCTATATAACAAGAGAATAGATAATGAATTTGATCTTTATTTTCATAGAGATAGATCTTCTTTTGTTATCGTTCTTATCAAAAAAAAATCATAACAGATAATGTATTATTCTTCTTGCTTAATGTCAACATTCTCGTTATTTAGAACTCTGTGTATCGAAGGCGAAGTTTATAGTACAGAGGTAAAGAGTCCATATTTGTCGAGAGAAAAAGAAAAAGAAAAAAAGAAAAAGAAATGTATTCAATATAATTTGGATATAGTAAAAGGCTGTTTTTTTTTCTTCCATACTTGATATATTCTCACGTTTCTTTTTATTTTGTTTTGTTATTATATTTTATAAATATTCTTGTGCAAATGTGTTTTTTATTTGATTGTGTTTTTTTTTTCTTTTTAGAAACAATGTCTACCGATAGTAGAAAAAATTGTAAAGAATCTAATGTTATCATAAATTTTGATCGTGATTGGAAAGTTTTAGAATTAATTAATCAAACACCAGATAAAGATTGTTTTTCAATAAATTATAATGATAATCATTGGAAAAATATTGATTTACCTCATTATGAAATAAAACATGATTCATCAACATATTGGTATCGTAAACGATTTGAATGGAAACATAAATCAGATACTCATGAACATATTTATTTAAATTTTACTTTAATTGAATATTATAATAAAGAATTAAATCATATTAAAATTCCAGGAATAATTATATGGTTAAATAAATCTCCTGTTTGTTTTGGTACATTTCCACAAGAACCAATAGAAATAACATCATATTTACAAACAGATTCTGATAATATTATTGTTATTTGTTCATCAGAAGGATATTCATTTTCATTATATCCACAAATACTTCTATCACATATGTATATTGGTCAATTAAATTATAATAAATTTGATAAAAATACATTAAAACGATATCATGAAAAACTTGATTATACAGCAAGTTTTGATGATTCTCATGGACTTATTGATATTTCTATTGGTTCCATAGAAAGACTTGATAATGAAAAATTTCATTTAGATGAAGATAATGATTGGGTAAATTTATCTATGAGTGATATTGATGAAGTTAAAGAAACATTAAAAATTGGTCCTGTACCACGTCTTGCTATAGTTATTCTTATTGTTGGTACACGTGGAGATGTTCAACCATTTATTGCATTAGCAAAAACATTACTTAATCATGGTCATCGAGTACGTCTTGCTACACATGAAAATTTTCGAAAATTTGTTCGTGAAAATGGTATTGAATTTTATCCATTAGCTGGTGATCCAGCTGATTTAATGTCATTTATGGTTAAAAATGCTGGTATTGTTCCATCAGTTAGTAGTATTGTAGCTGGTGATATTGCAAAAAGTCGTCGTATTATTGGTGATATTCTTAAATCAACATGGAAAGCATGTACAGACAATGATGATGAAACTGGTGTACCATTTATAGCTGAAGCTATTATTGCTAATCCACCATCATATGGTCATATACATTGTGCACAAAAATTACAAATTCCACTTCATATGATGTTTACAATGCCTTGGTCACCAACAGGTGCTTTTCCACATCCATTTTGTAAAGTTAATAATGATATTGGACCACCCGAACGTCTTAATCGACTATCTTATGATGTTGTTGAAATGTTGGTAAGTGTATGTTTATTAAAATTAGGTCTACAACAATTCACTACAATGTATATTGATTGCAATGCTAAATAAAAAAAAAGAAATCGGCGAATAAATATGCTTAGCGTTATAAAGAAATAATTCAGAGAAGTCCAGAAAATATAATTAATGATGTATTCAAGGACAATAAATGTTAGATACAAGTATAAATATGAATATTAAGTAAACTCTTCAATTTGAGAAAGTAATAGACGATTTAAAAAATTTTCATAACTCATATAAATTTTCATGACATCACTAAAATAAAATGTTTTACATGCGTCGTACTTTGCAACATATTTTGAAAACATAGTTCGTATCAAATCTTCAGTGTATTTGCCTTTTTTTTCCCCTGCAGAAGTGAATAATTACTATATTTTCAATTTAATTCAAATTAGGAATATCTATTCTTAAAGCTAAAGGCGGTCAGATCTTAAAATCTAAACCAGAGATGAAACCGGTCTACCGATTACCAAAGGACAACGGCACATTTTATTTTAGTGTGCATTTTGAAGCTTTTATTTGCTGTAGTTCTTGTTACTCAATAATGAATATAATTTTCGTCTTCTCATAACATTTTATCAAATTCAAAATATGAATGTCAACATTCAATTACCGTTTACTAGATAGACCATTCCTCAGGATTAAAAATACGAAATCTGTAGACACTTAGAAACGACCGTATACTATCATATTTTGGTGTAGTACATGACACGGTATTACGATCGTATTTGTCCGTATACAATACGATGAAATATCAGCATGCTTGTTCGACCTGAGCTACGAGTTCATCCCACCATGAGCCAAATCTTCATTTTTCACATGCCACGATCATCCTTGTGCGGTGCTGTGTATGAATGAATCACATATCCGTGAATTGAAATTTGTGGGATATAAAATAGGAATCTCGCTTCTGTCAAACATGTGACCAATTGTTACTTTTCCATTGAAATTAATGTCCTGCGAGATAAACTTTTCGTGTAGCGGCTCTCGTTTATTGTGCCTTGGAAATTTTCGAAATGTCTTGTAAGATCCTGTTAGCAGACAGAAATATAAATATATCATTTTGTCGAAGAAGAATACGTCCTTTCCCTCGCATATATTATTCGTGTTTGGGGGTATGACGTCGCATATGATCGTTTGTGATGGTGCTTTTTCAACCTGAGTAACTTTGAAAGCATCAAGTAGTATTTTTTCTGGTGTTTTATTTATTTAAATATTAAAATATTTGATAGAAATAAGAAATTAAAGTGTGTAAGATGCATTCTTATATACGGATTTTAGGAGAAAAAAAATTCACGATATTCAGTTTTCTTCCTATTGTCCCGAATTCCGAATATTGTACAGGATTCTAATTGAAATAGAAATAAAAATGTTTGTTGTCATTGTTAAACATCTATCTAGACATGGTCTGGTCTGCGTGATCTTATTAATGAATTTCGCGAAGACGTTCTTCAACTGCCACGTTTACATACTCACACAGCAGTTCATGCAATGATTTTAGAACATGTTCCGCATACATATTGTTGGTCACCCTCAGTTGTTCCTAAACCATCTGATTGGCCTGAATATATAAGTGTATCTGGTTTTTTCTTTCTTGATCTTGCAAAAAATTATAAAGCACCTGAAAATCTTGTTCGATTTCTTGAATCTGGTGATCCACCAATTTATATTGGTTTTGGTTCTATTACTGGTCATGATTCACGTCGAATTTTACAAATTGTTTTAGAAGCTTTGAATTCAACAGGATATCGAGCTTTATTATCTGGTTTAGCTAAAGATGATGATAAACTACCTGATAATGTTTTAAAAATTGATAATTGTCCACATGATTGGCTATTTCAATATGGTATGATGTCACGTTTTTCCTATTTTTTTTTTTATAATAATTTTAAAGATTATTGATATTTTATAGTGGCTGCTGTCTGTCATCATGGAGGTGCAGGTACAACTGCTGCTGGTCTTCGTGCTGGAAAACCAACAATAATTGTTCCATTTTTTGGTGATCAATTTTTTTGGGGAACAATGATTTGGAAAAGTGGTGCTGGTGCACGACCTATTCCTGGTAAACGTTTAAATGTTAATGAATTAATTGAAGCATTTAGAACAGTACATGAATCAGATATACGTGAAGCTGCTCAAAAATTACAAATTGCATTTCAACATGAATATGGATGTGATACAGCTGTTCAATCATTTCATGCTAATTTACCATTAAAAAATATGCAAAGTGATCTAGAACCATCATTTGGTGCATGTTATTATTTAAAAGATTATAATTTAAAAATTTCACGTCCTGTTGCACAAGTACTTGTTATTGCTGGTGTAATTAAAGATTCACAATTAAGTTTACATTCGACTTATAATTGGGATAAATTATCAAATGATAATCGTTCTCATTTGTCTACACTTGGTATATTAAGACATGGACAAAAAGCATTAAATTGTTTATTTGTTGATACACCAAAAGGTTTAAAACGTGCAAAAAGTGCAAATAATCTATTAACAGGTGCACGTGAAGGTGCTGAATGTATTCTTAAAGGTGTTGGAAAAAGTGTTGGATATGCATCTATTGGTTGTTTATCATTTTATGGTGATGTAACTGATGCACTTGAACGTTTACCGAAATTATATGATCCATATTCTGATTGTGATGAACATCAACGACCACAAGTCGATGATTTTCAATCTGGAGCTAAAGCTGCTGGACATTCTGTATTGCAAGGATTTAAAGATGGTATAACTGGATTCGTAAATAAACCTCGAACGGGTTTTCAACGACATGGAATATTAGGTGGTGCAGCTGGTGCAGCTATTGCTATACCAAATAGTATTATTAAACCTGTTGCTGGTACACTAGCTTCAATAACTTGGTTAAGTCGAGGTGTTTATGCTGAAGCAAAACATTTAAAACATAGAAATGATTCCGATTCGAATAATACATTATTATCATTAAGTCCTAATCGATATAAACAATTATTATCTCGATCAATGTTGGATGATGATAATACATCATTAGAATATCGAGCTTCGATTGAATCAGGTTTAACAATTGATAAATGCAAAGAAATTTTAGTTGAATTTGAAAGAATTAAAAATGAATATGATTCAATGACATATAAAAATGATGATACAACAATACAGAAAAAAGAAAAAAAATCAAGAAAAATATTTCAACGACAACGTAGTCGTTCGACTAATTTATAACATTTTTTTTTCTTTTGTTCAAAATAAATAATATTTTTCATTTTGTTTTGTGTTCTGAGAAACTTTTTGTTGTTAGAAATGATATTTAAGGAAACTTTACTTTCCTATGATTTAATTTTTTTTTCGATCAATTTATCGAGAAAACGAAACTGCATGAACTGTCCAATTTTTTCAGCAAACGGAGTTGTTTTAACAAAATTACGACCTTACTAGGCTACTTATAGGTGTAGAATTTCAAAAAAATTTTAAATAAAATATTTTCACTTGATTTTTATATAATCCGTTAGAATGACAATAGTAATATATACTCTGAGATCATTTTTTCAACGATTGAATGAGTATTCTCACAGAAATACTGATTTTTCTATTAGATACATTTTTACCTGTCCAACACTATTTTTTAAAAACCTTACCTGCTATTCGAAGTAGAAGTTTCATTTTGATTAGATTTTTAAAAGAAAAAAAACCAGTTTTCGTATATGTTCTAAAAGATGTTAAACAGGAAAAACGTCTTTTTTTTACAACTGAGGTTGTGTTTGGTACATTTTTTTTTATTAAAGATTGAATACATGATTTTGAAGTATATACTGTTCGATAGGGAATTTAATAAGCTACAAAATCGTATATAGAGTTATGACACAATGATATAACATAATACACTGGTAAATAAGTAACAGTATTCATTAATGTATGCTCACATGAATCATATACTGCAGAAATTTTTATTCTTCGATTTCTATACTTTTTTTAGGCAGCGATTTCTGCAGAAACAGTGTTTTTAGTATTCGTTCTAATAGTAAAAGGTTGAAGCGAATAGAAAAACAACTCTTTTTCTCAATAAACTGATTATTATGCCGAAGTTTGTCGCTGAAATATAAGTATTTGAGTTCAATATCTAAGAAATCAGTCAGTTCACAATATTGGATCACATGTGATCAATGCAATTGTTTGGAATGTGATTAAACAGTCAATAGTTTATTAAAAGGTAAAACAATCAACATCATAGTCTTTAATATCGAATTTTTCCTACGTATTACTTTCAATGCTTTGCTTTAATGAAAACCTGGAGCTTAAAATTTTTTGTAAAATAATATACTGATTTTTTGAAGAACATAGAGATCATTTTTATTTTTGAATCAAATATAATTGTAAGGTAAATTAAAACACGAAATCCAAAATTTTTGATAGCATGCTCGTACCATTCACTGATGCTATTCTTATTGTAAGACGATCTCAATTAATAAATCGCAATCTGATGAATATAATTTCTCGCAATACATGTCAAAAGGTGTTATTGACATAATATTTGATTTAGACATTTTCCAAGATCCTGTATCATCTTGCTGTTGATTCACTAGTTGATAAACAAATCTTTTGTTTTTTTTTTGTGAAGAAAAATCATTTTTGTATGGAAAAAAGACCAGATATTTATACAATATTTTCTGCATGGTTCTTCTTGAAATATTCATTGCAAATGCTAAGTATCGTATGGACACACGTCTCTTTTGAGCTAGATATTGTTTTATCTTTGAGATGTTTGTTTTTATTCAAACCGTGCATAGACATGACGTAGAGAGAACGACAATTTAATGGGGCCGGTTCTGTTGATCATTTTTTTATTTACAAATTAATTATTTGTAATGATACTGATTCAATTGAATCACAGCAAGTTTTCCTTGGTCTTTTTCACTATGTTCATATTTATTTGTTACAACTATTTGTATGACTTTACTTTTCATTTGTTATGAAGCATATATTGAACAACTTTTTCAATCAAGCGAACAGAAAAGGGTAAATGGCAGAAATAACAAGCAAGTCAATTTTTATAGGCGATTCTTTAGAGTCAAGTGAAAATGTTAGAAAGTTTACTGTTATACCAGATGTCTAAATAATAATATATTAAATAATGATTTTATTCAAAACAAGAAAATCAAACATTAGATGGAATAAACTGTTTGAATCGATCTTATATTTTGTTCAAGTTGAAAATAAAATCATTTATTAACGTAAAAAATTAGTATGAATTTATCACTCATTTTCTTATACTTATTTACCATTAAATCGAATCCAGACATTGTAATCTGCAAGCACATTTCTGTTTAATAGATAATGATTTACAAATATCACATTCTGGTCTTATTAAAATAATCAAACCTTCATAATATCCCTACTTCATCTAGATTACGCAAATAATTTCAAGACAAACACATATCATATTAGAAAATTTGAACAAAAACAAAGAATTGAAAATCTATTCACTTTCATATTAAAAAAAAAAGAATTAAACATAGTGTTCAATCTTCGCTTCAATCAACATTAAAATTTTATAACAAAGTCAAATCAAACAGTTACTATTTGTTTTTCAAGGAAAAACCTAAGAAAAACTGAATTAGAAATCTAAACCAAAAAAATCTCACGTTCATCATTATAAATAAATAAATCAAATTAACACTTGCAAACAATTCTTATTTTTATTTGTACAACAAATCAAAAACGGATTGAATTAAATCTTTTTTACGACTAAAATATTTTTTTAAAAACATATATATGCTTCAACTACATTGCGACACTATGCAAACGTCTTAATTCTCTTTTGAAACGTTAACCATCCAGATTATCACAACAACAGATAACACACCAAGCATGAATAACGCCAGGAACCTTGAACAGAAAAAAACAAATATATGTTCGCCATTTTCTTGTAATCAAAAAATATTTACCCAACCACATAATGTGAGAAGAATATTAATGAATACAGTACAACTACAAATTTTATTTCGAGCTATCCATACAGCTATAGGTGGTATGAATATACTTAAAATAATCAATAATAATTTTGCGCAAGCGTCTCCCATGATTTGTTGAGTCGAGAATAAAAAAGAAAAGAAAATGTAACCAGCAGCTTTCTTTTCTCGTTTTTTCCTCTACATCACAGTTTTTCTTTTTTCATCTCTGATAGCAATAAGAAGTCACAAAAAAAGTAACGGAAGAAAAAAACAGAGGAAAACAAGAATTTAGTATGAAACGACTCTTCTTGTTCAGCTCTATGACATGTCGATGAGAAGAAAAGACTAGGACAATGACAAGGCAAAGCAAAGCCTAGAACAGAATAGAAAAGTAATGTTCATTGGTAGTCATAATTATGTAGTCTTGGGAAGAAAAAAAAAAAAGAATTATTATATTAACATTCAAACATAGTCGACTTTATTCTTTATCTTTTAAATATATATAAAGTACATTTTGATTTTACTTTTATAAATTCCAAGCTCATGTATCGTTATACATAGATTGAACAATAAATAACAAAAACAAAACCAAGTGCAATACTTGATTAAAAAGCAAAATATGATGAACAAAAATCGAGTAAATAAAGACAAAACAATGCGTACAATAGAAAAAAAACCTAAGAAAAACAAAACAAATCATTCGCAAGCTAATTTTCCATCAAAAGATGATAGTGCAATACCAAATGCTTGAACAGCACATAATGGATATTTGAAATCGCATGTGAAAACATCTAAAATTAGATAGAAACTTTTGATTTTACATGAGTAATAAATAAAGATCTTAACGAAGAATAGGCTATCCTTGGAACCCACAGATCGAAAATTATATACAAAATATTCTGAGATTCCTTGGAAAATTGGAGTGATTGAAATCTGAATGGGAATATGTCCTTTAAAGTACTGCGTCAATATTTCTTTGCATATACCTTTTTCATATTTTTCTTAGTTAATTACTTTTTTTCTTTCCTGAAAATTAGTAATAGGTATTGTCATAAAAGTGTCGTATATGTCTTCATCACTATTCTTCTATCTGTGCACACCATTTTTTCATTATTATTTCTCAAAATCTCTTAGACTTTTCCATTAAAAGAATATATTCAAAGAAGATTTAAACTCATGTATACAATTGATTTTGATCAACACAAAAAAAAATCGATCATCATAGTCTTTGTTTTTCGCAGGTGTTATATATATAAGTTGATAGATCGACATAAGCCGTATATTTTAAAGTAAATGTTTTTATAAATAAATATACCAAAAAAACGAACACATATGTAATGCATCTGTCCTTTTTTTCTTCTACACTTCTCCTTATTAATCTAATATTTCTATTATTCTCTTTATGATATTATGTATTAATTAAATTTATACAAAAAAAAATTCTCTTGATACTTTTCTCTACGCAAGAACTAACATTCCTCATTATTATAATGTTGGCATACTATGAAATATTTTGCATCAATGATATTATTTCTTGCTTTTCAATGTATTCATTTTTCCTTTTTTCTTTTTACAATGTCAGCACTCCGAAATATTAAATTCATAAGTTAAATACAAAAAAAAGATAAGTAAATAAAAATCTTAATGAATTAACCAAATAAGTCTAAAGTCAAGAAAAAAAAACGTAACTGAATTTTATCATAATTAAAATTTTGCTTACAGTAAAAACAAAAGAACACATATCAACATATAATCGAAGTTGATTTTAACTATAAATATGAAATATTAACCAGCAAATAACTAAAATAATTCCATATTGATTTCAGAAGAATATTTTTTTTGTTTGTTTTTATATTCCTAACACTGATAATCAACTCTATCAGAATATAGTTCTAATGCACAATCATAGATTTATGTAATCAAGTTTTCACATTCATCTGATACTCATATAAGAAGATGATATAATCATAATGATTTTTCATGACTGTAATGTTTTTTATTGTCACACAATACTGACAATTCACGGAAGATCTATGACAGTTTTTTTCAAACATAATCTTAGATTGCGTGTGTGGATCACAAGATTTGAAGATATTTAAGGAAACAGAACATGCAGATGCTAGGAAATTGTGAAAAATCAAATCCTTCTTAAATGTCATGTAACTTGTATAATACTGAAAAACAATCATATAATCATCTATCTTCAATATTTGATTGATGCAAATCTATGCAACGAAAAGAAAATGTAATTGACGTGTCTTATAAACATTCATCATCGGATCTGTCATGAATGTTTTATTCACCGAGGGAAAAGTGCTTCTCTGAAGATAGGATTGACCCCTCCGAGAGATAAAACCTTCTATCCAGCTCGATTTTCGAGTTGAAACTTTTCATTTCTGTCAAGAATCATTCACAGATGTCTTAAACAATAAGTTCTTCATATTTTAATATTTGTCTGTTTCATATGCGGTTATTAAGTGCAATGTTTTTTACTCCATATTTAAGATGTTTTTAATGTCAAAAAAACTAATTGTGACTGTCATTATCATTGATATTAAACACAACATTGATTACCAGAAAACGTGTGCAAAATCTATTCAAAATGATCAATTTTCTAATTAACACATTTGATTATTGTCTTTTGACATTGAGTTTTTTTTTTTGCCAACAGAAAAGCCTTGACTAAATTTGTGATATAATACTTTAGAGTGATGATGATGCGATACATAAGAAAATAAGAAAACTTCTCTTTTAATTTCCTTCGATGAATATTTACAAATGAATTCTATGAGAATCAACAGGTCTTCACAATATTACTTGTATTATTGCCAATAGAAATATAATTTTCAACTCAAATATTTTAATATACATGAGAAAAGTCAAACTTGAAAGTTTTAAACAAAAGCAAAAATTTGATTTATTAAATTCATAAATAGTTCTAAGCTCAATTCACTAATAGCTTATGCATCGGATCATAGAAATCGATTGACATATGAACATCTTTGTTCAATACTCTTGATTAAATGTTTTTTCTCTTATTCATTAAAATATACACTTTAATTTTCAATGAAACTTACCATCACTAACTCGACCAAATTGCATGCATACATAATCTTCTACAAACAAATAAATAATTAAAACATTAATCCAATTATAATATGCTTCAAAAAAATTTAGTTTTTGTGAAACAGAATCTAAAAGAAGTGTTGAAGTGTAAGGCGTCAAAATGTTTACTCACCCCTACAGACGCTAGAACTCATCGGATCAATCTCTGGGTCAGGATTTAAAAATTTTGGTTTCGGTGGACTCTAGTCATCTGAGACATGTATTCGGTGACTAGATGACCGAATACACAAAATCCGAACAAAGTTTCTCATATCTTCAAGGCGACTATCCAATTTCGATCAGAAAGTTTCATTGAGATTATCAACGTAGAGTTCAGCCAGATTCGAGTTCGAAAGTTTTGCACCTGATAGACCGTAACCGATGCTAGTCAAAAGTGATTACAGATCGTATATTAATAATATCTCGTTATAATATATAAAACACTTTCTTATTACATTTCTGGGGCATTAAGTAACAGAATGATGAAGAAGTGTTTCCCAAAATAGATAGAATAAAAACAATCTGTATGTAATTAATCACATCGTATTTCATATTTTATTCCTTAATGGATTGTGTTAAAAGCTTTTTCTACTTACGATCATCATCATGTACAATTTGAAAATTTTTTACTGATGCTTGAGTTACACGTCCATGAAAATTAAGAACATATGATTGTGTTTCTTAAAACAAAAAAAAAAAAGAATAATAATTTTTTGTTTTGAAGAAAAAATAATTTTGTCTATTTTGATTTTACCTTGATGCCAAACAGGTGTTTTATTATGTAATTCAAGTAAATTATTCATATCATTATGTTTCCATCGTTCAACTAAACTTTCCGAATCCTGTTTTTGTAAAAGAAGAAAATAATTTGATCAATACATTTTTTATTCTTACAGTTTTTGGTCGAACTTCAACTCGATGATGATCACTACTCATACCAGGTATAATAATTGTCATACGACGTGGACCTTTAAATCCTAATATGTTTGTTTCCTATTTTATCAATAAAAAATAAAAACTTGAAAATTTTATTTTAAATAAATAAATATTATACATAAGCAATTGCAGCTAATTCTTGTCGTTGTTGTTCAATTGGACTGAGAAAAAATGAATTCAAGGATTTACTTTTTTTTTTAAATTTATTTTCTATGAACACTTACATATTCTTTTTCGGATTTGAACCTTGATCATAAACAGTAAAATTTGTACCTAACATATTTGCTCTAAAAATTTTTCAATATCTAATTTTAATTAAAAGAAAAAAAATTAAGAAAAAATAGTTTTACCTTAATTTTCCAATAAATTTTTCTCCATCACGTGATAAATCTGTTGGATCTGTTGATATCAAATAATTTGATGTTGTACTACGTCGACGTTTACGTCCAGCAAGTATAAAAAACTAAGTAAAAAAGAACTAATATTTACAAAAAATTTTTTCAATTTAAATAACATACTTTTTTACCATCACCAGGTCTTTCAGCATGCATATAATAAATTGGAAAAAGACCTTTTTCCATTCCTCGTTTATCACGTGTTATATGACATTGAATATCACCAAGACCATTTGGTGCTGGTGTATAAACAAATTTATCCAAATCTTCTGCAATCATTTCAAATATTGGACGCCATGCAAGTGTTAATGTTGAACTATTTGAATTATTATTATTATTACTATTATCATCATCATCATTATTGGTATATTGTTTTAATGATGATGGCTCATTATTATGATATAAAGTTGGTGTTAAAGGTTTAACAACTGTGATTTCAGTATCACCATCGGAATCTGAATGATAATAATGAAGAAAATTATTAGATGTATCTTCTTCATAATATTTACGACGACCATAGCGATGAGCTTACTTAATAGTGCATTAGTGCTCATCATACTTTTGTATGCAATTGCGTTCTTTAAAAAAGGCCGTGCATACAGACAAAAGCAAAAAGCTTGAAAAAACTTCTTTCTTTTTTTTATTACTTTGCAACATATATACATTAACATAAAAAGCATCATAGAAAACATTGCTTTTTCGATTTAACATACCATTCTTTTCATAATCATCATCATTACTATGTGTAATAGTAGCATCAGATAAAATTTGCATTTTTCCTCTTGAAGCATTTATTGTTCTTGTTTGTATCGATGTACTTGCAGATGGATGAGATACAGTCAATTTATCTTTCTTTTATACAAAAAAAAAAAAGAAAAAAAAAACCAGACAATTTTTCTTTTTCAAATAATAAAATACTATTAATATTAGTACATTATTATTTTTCCAACGAATCGGATAAAATGGATGATTTGGTATTGATGATGAATAATTTGAATTATTCAACGAACTAGATCCATCAATATCAGGATAAAATGAAGTATTAACAAATCCTAAGAGTATTAAAAATAAAATTTCATTAAAAAATAAATTACAATTTTAATCTATTTATATATAGACAAGTAGAAAATACTACTAAGAAACAAACATATATATGATGTTAAATCATTTTAAATTGAGATACGTCTTAGAAGAGCTTTTCTATAGATTTAACTTACCACCAACATCATCTGGATAAGATGGATCTGTTTGATGAGGTATGCGTTTCGTACGTATATCTGCTTCACGTTTTATTAATTCTGTCTAAAAGACAAAACAAAAAAACAAACAAAAATTTTTGTTTAAAAAATTGTAATTACTTTTTGATCTATTCTTTTTTGATTAAATTTACTAGACGTAGATATTTTATTATCATCTTCCTCTGAGATTCTATAAAATAAAAACAAAAAGTAAATTTTTTTTTTTCATAAACTTTTTGCTTTCGAAATCTATAAACTCACACTCCTGGTACATGTTCACCATTTATCATTGTATTATCTATGATTATTAATTTTATATATACATAGATCTAAAAGTAAGATAATATTTGAGATTGTTTATTCATGTGAATTTTTGTAAGGATGTGAAGTCGAAGGTAATCGTCGAGAAAGAAAAAAGAAAGAAAAAACCGGTGCCTATTACTCGATGTTTCACCGGTGTCTTTCTATTTTTTCCTATGCATTCTTTTTCTAGTCTTAATTAATTGAGAAAAAGAAATAGGAAGAATAGATATGGAGACAAAAGAATGCATTCATGTTAGAACATCTTAGATGGCAGAAAATTTTAGATTGTAACTCAATGAAAAATATATTAACCCATAATAAAAGGTATTTAGTATATATAAATATTTTATATTCATACTTTTGATTAAATATTGACAAAACAATGTCATATATTCATAAAAGAGAAAAAAATACAAATCAAATAATTTTTAACTTAATATCAATAAACATTTCTATATTTTTTCTTTTTCTTTTATATTTCTCATTAGTAGACGATCTATTAAGTTAAAATATATTCTCTTCCTGCTTGTTCTTTTTTTCCTAGAATTCCATAAAATGAACGGAATAAAAGAGAAGAGAGAAACAGGAAGAGAGAAAAAAAAAACATGACATTGAGAACAAGTTGGATAAAGAAAAGAAAAATTTCAAGGGGCGTGATGTCATCAATGATTCATTATAAATATGATCAACCATGCTTCATTTCGTTGCTCAGCAACTAACCTCTAATATATTATATTAATTTATAAACATAAAAATGTTTTTATTTTATTTAAAAAAAAAACATATTCTTCATTTATAAATCGATGTTTTTTCTATTAATCAGATGTCACTAGTATCATTTTTATAGACAGAAAAAAAAAGAAAAAGAATTGTCAAAGGAAGTAACACATAAAGAGATTTATATATTTTGAAAAAAAAAGAACCAATTCAAATGTCATTGAAAAAATTTATACCCATATATTCGAATGATGATAATACTAATGATGAAATGGAAGTTGGTTCATCATCAGTTAAAGTTCATCGTTATATATGTGATACAAATACAGATTGGTCAACACAATCAACTAATATATCATCATCAACAACAACAACAACAGATGAACCAGGTGTTACTATAAAAGATGTTGTACCACGTTCAATGTATTATCATGAACAATATAATAATGATGATGATGATGATTGTTTATGTTCATGCGCATGTTGTCGTTGTGAATGTTGTCCAACTGTATCAGATTGGTGTATAAGAGATCCATATGGTTTATCATGTGGTTTTACAACATGGTTTTTATTTATTTATGCTCAATTTGTTATTATATTTGTTATATTAATACCTAAAAGCCATTCAATAATATTTAATATAATTAATTTATTTATATTTCATTTATTAGAAATACTTGCTGTTTCATCACATTATCGAACAATGTTTTCTAATCCAGTATGAATAGTTTATTTTTATTTAGAAATAATATTAATAACTTAGAATGAAGAAAATAAATCTATGATATTATAAATGAAAATTCAATTAAGAGTCACTTTGAAATTTTTTAAGACTTGAATAAACGAAATTTTTATTATTTATGAGTATAGATCATATATCCTAAATAACAATAATAATATTACAATTATTTTCCTAGGAATTTTGTTTTTTGTAAACTAATTTTTTTTTAAAAGTAACATATTCTTTCAAATAATAAAAAATGTAAATGTATTTTTTAGGGTGCTGTTCCATTGAATGATGCAACACCAGAGAATTTATTGAAATATGAAAATGGTACTATTGTTTATCGATGTGCTATGTGTAAAAGTATAAAACCACCAAGATCCCATCACTGTAGGTACTAAAATGAGATTATTTTGTTTTGTTTTTTTTTTGATTTTGTTTTGTATTATAATATATTTCTATTTCAATAGTGTTTGTAAACGATGTATAAAACGAATGGATCATCATTGTGTATTTGTTAATAATTGTGTTGGACAAAATAATCAAAAATATTTTATTTTATTTACAGTAAGATTAAAAACATAAAGAAAAATAATTAAAATATTTTTAACTAGGGAATAATCTAGATTTTATCTTTCGAAGGAAGATTTATAATTCCGGGGGTACACACTTATTTTTGAGAGCACAGACACATAGTGCGTGTTGTGATAACCAGAAATTCCCGAAGGATCAATCTGATTGTTAAAAGAGCGTCATATCCTCGCTAGACAAAATACCTAATTTCTTTCTTTCTTTTATAAAGTTTTATTTGTAGATATAGTTTATCTTCCTACTTGAATCTTTGTTTTTTCATGAATTTGCTTAATATAACATACCTTGCAAAACGAGTGAAAAAAATATCGAGCTTCACAGCTCATTCATTTTACAAGCTGTAAAGTTGTATTCTTTTTTCTATTAGAATAAGCATGAAAAACTCTAATAGCCTGAAATTTCTTTCGAACACTCTCAACCATACTTTGTAACATTGTTTGATTATTCGTGCCAATGCATTGAAATTTTCTACTTTCCAATTATTTTTATTTGAGTAGAGTTTGTGGAAGCTAAAATTTTTGGGCTCGGATCCTGTCCAACCGTACTTGATACTTTCAATGAAATTTTCTAATCGGAATTGGATATTTAGTTCGAAGATATGAAATAATTTTTTTTTTGTATTTGATGAGTAGTGCATTCTCCATATTTCTCAGACGACAAGAGTCTAATTTTTAAATGAAGTTTTTGTTAACTTCATATTCTAGTTTTCAAATAGGAACATTTTATTCTTGTTATATGCAAAACACTGTTGGACTCTACTCGCAATTTCACTTTGTAAACCTCTTATAATAGTATTGGAACACTTGAAGTTATGAATGACTTCACATGAAAATTGGTTTCAATGGAATAAGTTATTTGAATTGATACTATGCCATTCATCTATGTACAGGTATATATGAGAAGTGGTAACCACTTTAGAGAAGAGATGATGAAATATCACGACTCGAAAATTTAGTAATCAAAAGTATATTTTCTCAAATATTGTTAAACAAATCTTGAATGTTCTACATATGACAGTTAGATCTAATAGAGATTGTGTAATGCATAAATTTGCGAAATTTACTTCAATGTTAAATAAAAATAAATGAATGTTCTATACATTCATAAAGTAAATATGAATAATTCTTCGTACTGGCAGCATAATATATTAATATTCAAATATTACAAAAGAAAACCTATCGAAGAAATTTTTTACTGTGACTAGCGAGATATTCGAAATCATATATTAAATTTTAATTATTAAAAAAAAAGCAGTTTGATCAATGTAAAGAATTTTGATAAGTCGTTCTAGAAAGACAGTACCTTCTTATTCTGAACAATGGATGCTTATTTCTGGTCCCATGTACAATAACAAACTGCATCGTGTGAGCAATATATCTTTCAGAGATGTCCACGATGATGCTACCGCAGCAGATTTTTTTAGGAAGAAATTTCAAAAATACATAAATTTGCACAGAATCTCGGTGTTCATATATGTGATACTGTAAGACTTAGCAAATCTAGTCGATTAGCAGCAGCAGTTCTAGTTCAAACTAGTCATGGTCTTGAAAATCAAAACATTTTTTTTGAGTACCAGTACCATCGCGGCAGCGGCAGATTCTCAGTCGCGATGGGCATTCTATCACTTAACGTGCAGAACGAAAAAAATGATGTTATACATGTTGCATTGTGGTAAACAATAATGAAACATATAGAAAAAGGGGATGAACTCTACAGCCCGATGAATCCAAAATTTTTAGACTCGGATCCGAGTCGAACCCGATGGGCTCTATACGAGATACTTTTTTCCGTTTTGTATTCGGTGACCATCAGGCCGGACGATTTTGTCCTTTTTTTAGATTTGGCTCATCCCTGAGGGGAAATAGGGAAAAACTTCTCCACGCTACCCCTTCCTTGGTCATCATTTTTTTATAAAAGCTGAAAAATATGGAATAGCTGTCGATTGAGAAAAAAAATCTTTGTAAACGAAGTTTCTTTTGGGCCCGAGCCTGGCAAGCCTAAACAATGTTCGGGTCATAAAAAAGTGGCCTGATGACTAACACACCCTACACATTTCTCAAACGACTGGAGTTAGTCGGGTTGGTTTCGAATCCGAACTCGACAGACTCTAGAATGGACTAGCAATGGATATTTAGAAGAAAAAAATAATATTAGACAGTAACATGTCGTCGTTTATAGTAATATCAAATCATGTCAGCAAATGCTGATCTACCTCTGATTAAAAAAGTTGAATTAATAAATTTTTCGACAGAAGAAAAACAAGCGATTGCAACTAAATACAAAAAAGAAATTGAAAATCTCCCAACAGTGAGTACGTTCAGTCGGTCTCCGTGGTGCTCACACTAGAAAGATCTCACTATAGCTGGTTTTTTGTTAGTATGACTGAGTCAAGATATGATGCATAAATTATTTAAAATGCATTGTGGAACCTTTAACAAAAAAAAAACATTTTCAAAACAGAACAATTTTACTTTACATTAATTATATATTAATTATAGTTTTATACTTGTGTTATTTCGATCTATGCACTTATTCTTCTCGGGATTCATATAACAACATGTATTAATTCTGATTGGAATGGTTTGTTATACTAAGATTATTTCTTGACTAATCTTATTTTTGTTTTTTCCTTTAAACTAGCATGTACATCATGGTCACCACCGGCAACTATTATTTTTCTAATATTTCTTGCATTTGAAGCTATATCATTTTCAATTTTTACTGCAATTATGACTGGAACACAATTATATTCAATATATACTGATACGACGGTATGTACATTTTAAATATAAATTATTTTTTTCAAAAATGAAAAAAAAAAAAAATTAATCTTTTTTTTTTGTTTTGTTTTCTTCTTTTTAGGGTATTGAATCTTTTAAAGGAGAAAAAACTGGTAGTCGTCGTTCTAGTTCATTTATTTCATCATTAAAAATAGTATTTGGTTCTCAAGTTGGTTTAGCATGGTTAAATCCATTTTCAAAACCAGTTAATTTAATAACACAAAATGATGAACGTGTGACATTTGATGTGTAATTTCAAAATAAACCGATAATATGTTTTTTTTATTCATAATAATAATAAAAACAAACTACTAGAACCATTGAAATCAAACGACACAGAAACAAAAAAAAAATTTTTTTTTTTCGGTATTATTTAGTTTTTTTTTTTTTGTCTTTTTTTAAACAATAAATTACGGATACAATATTTAGGTATACATTGAATATATGTTTGTTTTATTTGTCATTGTTAATGCTATTTTCTATTTTTTTTAATGCATCAAATATAATACACATGTCACCTTTAAGATCAGATATTATTTGTGCCACATGTTGAGTATTTGAAACAATTTCAATACTTTGATTATATGGATTATAACGTACTGCAAAAGGACGTTTAATTGATGATGCAAATTGTCTATAAAATAATGAAGTTGTCTTTGTTTTTTTAATGAAAAAAATTAATTTTCTTTTTTTACCTCATTTTTTCTTTTGCATCAATAAAACTAGCCGAAACAAAATATTGATCTTGATAAGTTGTTATTAAACATTTTGTTTTACATACAATATCAGGATCAAATGGTAGTTTTTTTGCTTCATCACTTAATGCATGTTGTAATTCAGAACATGATGAAAGTAAACCAGCACCATATGCACGAAGACCTTCATTTTGACGACATAGACCAAATTCAATTGTAAAAAAATAACACTAGAACAAAAGAAAAAAAGAAAATACACAATTCTTGTATTTCATTTACTTAACATAATAAAAATAAAAAGACTCTTTTCAATATAATCATTCTAATGAAACATTGTTATGTTAGATGAGAAACTCATCATCATAGTTTTATTGAACCGAACAAAAATCGCCGATTTACCGTTTGGTATAATATACGCTATACTGACGGTTTTTTTTTGACAATATTGCATAATGGTGTAATGTATCAAAATGAATGAATATTTTTGTGGTCTGTTAAAGCTGACAGAATTGAATTGACTTGATGGGCCTGAGCTGCCTGTACTAGCCATAGAATTTAAAGCGACTTCAGTTATTAGATAAGTTTTTTATTATAGATGGTGCTACAAGAATTTTTTGTTAGTAAAATATATTCTGAAACTGTTTTTTCTTCGCGATTAAATTTAAATTCGTTCTAATAATAAATTCGAATTTGGATAGGAAACAGTTTCTGGAATCGAAAGTCGTAAGCGCTACCGCCGTATACCGGAGGTGCTGCGAAGAAATATGTGGCATAGGTACAGACAGAACCTTATCCAGATTTTCTCGACCGAAGGGACGAATACCTATTTCTTGGAAGCACAGACACATAATACATGGTACAAGAACGACAAATATCGGGAGGGCGGCATCATTATGGCTACTGATAAAGTCTTCAATTTATTATAATCTATTGATTCCCTCCACGTCATACATACTACTGTGTGTTGATCTGCTTATCTATGATAGCTACTAATGTAAAGAATAGAAAGGTATCGATAACTGATCTACCTGTCCGATTATAGGTATGTTTCTTCTAGTACCGATATTGAGAGTTTCTTGCATTATTCAGAAATCTTCATAAGAAAATAGATAAGAAGTTGCTTTAGTAATGACTATTATAATGTGTTTATTAAGCACCTTCTAAAATTATGTATGTTTAGTCCCTATCTCGTAAAAACACTTGAGGGATAGAGAACCCGAGTATCAGCATAGTTCTATTATGACCCAGGTGAATGAGGTACGGCCGAAATACTTCGGAACATGGTAGAAACTTGGAAGCAAGAACCCAGTGACTGAATACGATAACTGGATTCCTGTTTTCATCTTCCTACCATTTTCCGACGAATTCTTAGCATTTTTTTAAACTTCTCCAGCAGCTACAGGGACTTCTTTTTTCGGGATTTATTGGGATTTTTCAATAAGTCCGTAAGCACTTTGAGATAAATCCCATACAGTTCCTTGCTACATACAGAATGTGGATGAGGGTGTGGATAAGGGTGTGGGTGTGAGTATGGGTTTTATGTGTGGATGAGGGTGGGTGTGAGTATGGGTGTGGGTGTGGATGAGGGTGTGGGTATGGGTGTGGATGTGGGTATACTGGGATAGCATCGATATTGATAAATCCTCAATAAAGAAATAAGTCCGCTAGAAAGAATAAATCCCGAAAAAACAAGCTCCGGTAGTTCCTCAACTTCTCGAGACCTCCTTGTGGATTCCATATGAGTTCAAACAGTGGATTACAGTTCGAGTAGTTCTTAGAATAGTAATTTATTTAAATTCTATCTTACCGTTGCCAATCGATTAATATCATCTTCTGAAGCTCCAATAGCAGCTAAGCCAATTTCATGTGAAAATTGAGCAAAATTAGGATCAGCTAAGAGTGGAACATGACCAAGTAATTCATGACAACAATCTCTATTTTTTTGTTTTAAACAAAAAATATAAATCTTTATTTTAAATTTAATTTTGAAAAAAACTTACGGTTCAGGTGTATATGATGGATTTGATGAATGTCGAATATATTGTGTACAATGAAATACACGAAATGCTAGACCATATAAAAAATCTCTTGGTGATAAATAACCAGCGACTGGACGTAATGTAAAACCCGTACGTTCACGAAGAAAACGCGATATATCTTCTAATTGTGGTATATTATCTTCTCTAAATTTAAATCAGATAAAAAGATAATTATAGTAAAAAAAATAAATAAATCAAAAATTTTTTTTAATCTACCGAAAACCACATTGTTCTCTTAATAATGGCCAATTAGCCAAATATTCATTACAAGCATGTGTTGGATATAATTTATTTAAATTTCGAAATACTGCACCCCTATGTTCTCATATCGAGAAAATAAAATATCATTAAATATTAAAATAATTTTTACCATGTTTCTGTTTCTTCTTTAGTATAGTCTACACGTGGAATTGGATCTCCACTGAAAAAAAATAAAACAACATATTAATCATTAATTATAGAGATATATAACACATACTGCTTATATGCTATAGCCAAATCATGAAAATACATACGACGAGCTCGATAAACCTTATCTGTAAAACCCTAGAAAATAAAATATTTACATTACATCTTTTCAAATAAGTATCATTGAACTTTCACTAATATATGATTGAACGAAGTAGAGAAGCAAAAATATACAAAAAAAAAGAACTATCAGTGTAATTCCTGTGGGATTAAGGGTTTTTTTTTAGTATTTTGACCCTAACATCTTTATCTGACGGCCGATTCAAGAAATTTTTTTTTAATTAAAATAACCGTCGCACAAAATTCGATAAGATAGGTTATGTGCGAAATTTTTGAAAGAACTTCACATAGTTGAAGAAAAACTCAATCTAATATAAAGAAATATTTTCAGTTCAAAGATGTTATTCTTAATTCGAATGCTAACTAATAAAGCAGCAAGAATAAACTCTCTAGGAAAGTTGCTTCATTCGATCTGTTATCCGAGAATATTCTGCTATTTTATAATGTTGACAATTCATTAAAAAAAAACCAAGTGAAGATTTTGATCAATGATACATCTCTGACAATGATGTGACTATGAATCATCGAAATTAGTATATTTACAATGATTACTTTCGATAGCTTTATTAATTAAAGCTTAGAGAAGACGGATCGGTATGCTAGTGATGCTCAGTTTTGAACTTTATCATATCTGCATATCGAATGACATTGGACAGTTTAAGAAAATGTACCCAAGTACTGTATGATTTATGCTGTCAAAGGTCAAAGTAAGATTCAGTTACTAGGAACACCCTGTCATATAGTTCATTGAGTCGCAAACTTGTTTAATCATCTAATCTATTGACGAACAATGTGTATACGAAAGAAATTTTTAATTCATTTTATAACTAAAAAAATCTCATAGGAAATTAGTACAGCTAATATTCCTTAAGGAGAATCTCTTAAGGTTTTCAATCGTATGATAATTACACTTAACAGCTTCAAGATGACTAGAAAATGTTAGAAAAAAAACATTGACTTAATATTCTACAGTCAACGAAGTTTAATATGTTTTAAGTAAATATTTTTGAATACATACTGGATGATCAGCATCAAGATCTGCTCCATATAAAAGAACTTTATTTGAACATTGATCTAAATCACTGATTCGATGTGGAAACCAAGGTGTTTCTTCAACTTCAACTAAAATAAAGAAAAAAAAAAAAGAAGACAAATGATTTATTTTACTTAAGAAAATGATGATTTCTATTTAAAAAGAAAACAAAAAAAAGAAAAGGATATTTATAATTCGTTTCAAACCTCTGGTTGGTTTTATTAAAGGTTTTTTCGGTCTTAAAGTTCTTCTATTCAAGAATTGACTTTGTGTTTTCTTATTAGTCAAAGCATTATCACAACTATTGGCTCGTGTACGCATTGGTTTAAATACATATTCATCTGTATCTTCATGAACAGATGAAAAAAGTGTATTAGTTTTTCGTTTTATAACTGCAGCTGGATATATCCATAAAACATCATCACGTTTAACAAGTATTGAGCTTGTTCTTCGTGTTGGTGGTTGATAAGACAAACTTCGTGTAAATAAAGGTAATGATAATTCTTGCTCTTCATCACTACTTATATTATCATCCATTGAATTTATTGATAATTCCATTTCGGAAAGAGCTGGTGCTGTTGGCATCATAAAATTTGTTACTGGATTTCGAATAAGACCCGCAATTCTTGTCATTGGATGAGTATCAATATTTAATGAAACCCATGATGACGATGGTGAATCATTTGATATTGTTGAATGAAAAAGAGCATTATTATGAGCACAATATGTACGTAAACAACATTGATCATTTAATGATGATGGTAGTGAGTGCATTATTGATGAAAATTGATCAATATTATTAACAGGCTGATGCAATGGAGTTAAATGATCGTTTAAATTAGATAGCTGTCGTTGAACATGACCAATTGGTATTGATGGTCTATCAAGTTTTTCAAGATTTTGTACACTACGAATCATATGAAGCCAATCATTGGAAACAAATAATGGTAAATATGAAAATAAATGATTCTTATGTATTGTTTCCATTACTAATAATAATGATTTTGAATCAATTAAACTGATTAAACATTGTTGAAAAATACTATAAATAGATTGTTCTTTATCAGAATCTAATGTCGATAAACAATAATTTAGACAATTTTTTAAATTTAAATATCCTTGATTGATATCTTCAGATGAAAAATATCGTTTTAAATTTTCTTCAATTTCAATTAATGAACCTTGACCAATTATATTTGATATATAACATAAAACTTTATCATAACAAAGTGTAGATAATGAAACATCTGTTTCTGGTGATATATACAGATGTCGATCAAGGGTAGATTTTAGATGTAATGAAGAAGATTCTAATGGATCTCTTATAATATCCTTATCACGTCCCATGTTTTACTTTTTTTTAATGTTTGTAATATTCACACAAACAATAAATAATAATAATAAAATGAATACAGATGTTTCTCAAATCTTATATAGGCAAAACTGGTGCCGTAACGACGCCATTTAATAAGTAGAAAAGAAAAATTATTGAATATTAAATTTGATTGTATTCATTCTAATGAATACTAATAGAAAATATGAAAAATATATACTCTTAATCATCATACATCATGCATGCATCGACTGCGTGATTATAAATGATTTAGAAATGAAAACAAAAATAAGAATATATATATATATATATTTCATTTTTATTCTTATCTATATGATTATATTCTAAACAAATAGATCAATAATTTTAATTCAATTTTTGATTAATATAATATTAAATTAATCAATACTTGTTTATTTAAAATAGGTTACTGTATACCTATACAGAATGTGACACAATAGGAGTACTATATAGACTTCGACCTTTTCAAAATAGTCAAAATATCCTTCTAGTTTTTTGTTCTTTTGTATTCAAAAGACAGTAATATAACACATCTGATGCCATCGTTTATTTTTTTTTAATTAGTTTTCTTTTTTCTCATTCAACTTACTTTTACGATTTATTGGTTTGCCATTTTTATCAAGAAAAGGTGACGGTGGCAGCGTATCTAGGTCTCCATTACCATTTGAAGTATCATTATTAATAAAAACATCGTCATTATTTTGATTTATATGTTCAGTTAAAGCACTTAAATCAATTCGAACACAAGATACTTGACGTTTTAATTGTTGCATAGATTCATTGACACGATTACGATCAGCTTCTAAATCAACATAAATTTCATATTCAGAATTTGTACGACGTGAACGACGAGATTCAATATGTACAACATTAATACCATTTTCCTTTTTGAAAATAAAATATAAAATCATTTATTTCAAATCAAATTAGAAATATATTTTTTCCATAAGAAAAAAAAAATTAATTAAAAATTTGTAAAGAATTAAAGATTTCTACGACAAGGGGCTTTTGAGTACTAGCATAGTTTATAGGGTACAGAGTTTGTTTTTTTGTTTTCTTATTTTTTAAATAACTTAAAAACGCAAAACAGTTATCAAGAGGTTACGACGCAAATGTTATCTTGTCATCTTGAAAATGTTATTAATTTTCTTTGCAAATGTACGAGAAGTATACAAAAAAAAAACACCGCAATAGACAAAGATTTTTATAGCACCATTGAGAAATATTAATTTTTTTTATTTTTAGGTTAAAGATTTCAGTATACATATAGTGAATACTAAAATTATTCAACAAAGATTATTTTCATCTTTTCTTTTTTTTTTATGTATCCAGTTTTCAAAGTCAGGGGCTTGAGAAGACCCAAAAAAAGTTAATTTGTCAACATTGACAAACACTTAAATAAAGTTTTGTTTCGACTACATAGATTGATAGAGTACATAATTGTCTACAAAATGAGACGTCTTCGAGTTCTCTATGACATTTTTTAGTTGAGATACAACGATCTTACGAAATTATCTGAAGTCATTTTTTTCTAATTCTATACAAAATCTACTTTTTGACCTTCAATGAAATGTCTGTATCTCAGTTAAAAAATATTGCAGAGAACTTGAAGATATCTCATTTTGTAGACAATTGTTTTCTCTATCGCTCTATGTAGTCGAAACAAAATTATATATATATAAATGTTCTAGATGCGGAAAAACTAGCCTCTTGATTTTATTATATTCTTGTTGGAAATAATTTCCTCTATTTGAATTCTTTCTGGCGCTTACCGACAACAGAAAATAAATCTTGTTGAATAATTTTGATGTTCGTTGTATGTAAAATATTTCTCAAAAAATAGATTTAAAATTTTCGTATCTATCAGATGATTTAACAGTTTCGGTTGTACGTGATATTTTGAAAAGCACCAGATTCTAGTGTGAAGTCTTCTTAACAATATTTTGTCTCGCAAAATTAAAAGTTTTGAGAAGCCAAACTTTTTCACTTACAATGGAGATGTTTGTACTGTAAGTTAAGACGATGGTACATATTTGGGTCAAGTGAAAGCTCTCACCGCCAAACTAACAAGGTTAAAATATTAGCAGCTGTTGGCTTGCCTAGAGGGAGACATTTAAATTTAGGTATAAAAATGAATTAGGAAAGATTTTCTCCACTATTATAAGGACGAAACATAATGTTGTTCGAGGCGATCATGGGGTTTGTAGGGACTTTCTTTCATATGGCCCGAACAACATCATGTTTTGTTCTTATAATAGTAGAGTGAATTTCTCCTGTAGGTCATGGAAACAGCTTTCTCTATCAACCACTAGAAAAATTCACTCCACTATTATCAGGACAAAACACAGTGTTGTTCGAGCCATATGAAAGAGGAACCCTACAAACCCTATAATCGGCTCGAACAACACTATGTTTTGTCCTTATAATAGCGGAGTGGATTTTTCTAGTGGTTGATAGAAAAAGCTGTTTCCATGACCTACAGGAGAAATTCACTCTACTATTATAAGAACAAAACATGATGTTGTTCGGGCCATATGAAAGAGAGTCCCTACGAACCCCATGATCGCCTCGAACAACATTATGTTTTCTCCTTATAATAATGGAGAAAATCTTTCCTGATTCATTTTTATACCTAAATTTAAAATTTAAATATCTCCCTCTAGGCAAGCCAACAGCTGCTAATATTTTAATCCTGTTAGTTTGGCGATGAAAGCTTTCATTTGACCCGAATATGTACCATCGTTTTAACTTACAGTACAAACACCTCCATTGTTAGAGAAACTCCAAATTTTTTTTCTGAGTAAGATATATACTTCTTCTAGTGCTAAACTCCGTCTTCACAATAGAAGATCTCACTTTAGTTAGTTAATTTCTCGCAAAACTCGAATAGTATATTTACATCAGAATATGTCTAATGAAAATGAATGAGACATAATAGAAGATTCCGGAGTCTTCTGTTGCTGGAAAGGATTTACTTCTTAATAAGAATGTTTTTCTGATGTCTTTTTTATGTCTTGAAACTTACTTATGAATCTATTAAGTAGTGTATTTCTGTTCATTACTTAACATATGAAGAATGAATTTGTCACTAGGTAAAAATAAAAATAGTTGGCTGTCTTACTAACGTAACTTCGAAAAATTTCTTTTAGAGACTTTGGCTACGCCAGAGTCCGATGCAAGGTTCTACTAAGTTCTCATGATTATATTTCTATATGCTTATGACGGACATTAATAATACAAAAAATATGGTAGCATGGACGAGCCTCATTTTCTCACCATTGTCTTTCTATATATGTTTCAATAATGGATATTTATTTTCAATGGATAATCTAAAAGCATTTTCGAATATCAAATGTAATTTCAAAGTGAAAATAATTTTGTTGGATAGAGATTGGAGAGTCGGAACTACATTTTGCTAAAAAAAAGGAAAAATAAGCCTAAACTTATATACATTTTCTTATTAATAAATAAAGATTCGCATGTCTATATTGTGTTAAAGGTAAGGTACTTCAATCCACTGTAATCTTGAGTTTCAAAGAAAATTTGATTAGAGCAGGATATTCACTGGGAGAAATTTGAAGACAAATAGTTTAAATTAATCGAAAATATGGTTTACTTTTCAGCGATTTCCATCAACTCTTACGTGGGAATTAGACAAACTAGAATCGTTTGACATGAAATTTTTACGGGTGATAAAGGCAACACTGATGAGGGAACTACCTAAACTGATAGCCACTGTTCGAGCACATATTGTGTCTACAAGAACGCGTTGGTGAAACAACAAAAAGTTTATCCCTATGGATCTTTGAAGCCGAGTTATGAGCGTTTTACTGAATTTTTGACTCAGTTTTAAGTATACACCAAAAGATTAAAAACGTGGTCAAACTACGAGAGACTAAATGACTAAGTTTCAGATACTTTTTTGTGACTACTGTATTTTTATGTATTTTACACTTTTAGTAGGAATAATATGTTAAACGTATTAATAAAATTTTGATGAAAATATACCTGAAAAACTTTAAGAGCTCTTGCCAAACCGCCGACACGATTTTTAATTGAAAATATAAATGATGTTGTATTTCCATCTTGAACAAGTGATTTTAATTTTTCTAATGGTATATCATGATTAACAACATTTACTGCTTCTTGATCATCCATATCTTCATGTAATGTTGATAATCGATGCTAAAATAAATTATGTTTTGTTTTGTTTTGTTTTTTACTTTTTATTTTGTTTTTTATTATTTTTACTTACTTCAAGACATCGAAAATAAGATGATTTGTATGACATTATTAGATTAGTTTATGTTTTCTATGAATTTTTCTCTTAATAATAAAACAAAATGAGTTTGATCAAACAGTTTATATAGGATTGAATTAACGCAACATATTTTCTTCTCGGGTTTCTTTTTGTTTCAAAATGAATGCGTAGGAGGCATATGTTTTTTTTTTCCTCATTTGTAAAGCAATTCAATGACAGTAATGAGTCTTCTATCTTGTATAATATCTACATTTTGACTTGAACATCAAGAAACCATTCAATAAGATGAACTTTTTTTTCTTCATATGTTTATGATTAGAGATCGTAAATACTGATTTAATTATCAATATCAGTTATATTAATCCTGTCAAAAAAAAAAAATGTTCGTCCTTGAAAAATTGATCTTATATATAAATAGTTCTAGTTAATAATTTCCTTCATTATATTAAATATTCTTTCAGTAAAATATAAATAGTATTACGTAGAAAAATTATTTTATTATAATTGATTGACTTTTATTTCATTTTTTTTTCTTATTGACAAAGAAAAACAAAAAAAAGAAAGTCTCACTAATAATTGTTGTGCTATGATCTAAGTATCTCATTGAATCAATCATATGAAATTTTAATTTGTTGATGATACCGCAATTGAAATTACAATATAAATTTCATGAGTATATCCTAGAAAAAAAAATATATGCGACATTTTAAGGTAACGATTGTTATCTAGCGTCCCGCATCAGTTGTGTTACATTTTTTTTTTTAGACAAGCATAAACATTTTCAAGGACATTGAAGCCAATATTAATATTGATGAGAATTATGAAGTAATCGAAAAGATTTTATCATGAACAAAAACGACGTAATTCTGATTATCTTTTTTTGTTTTTTCTATTGTGTCTTTCAGATTGTAAATTTATTTATTTATTTTTTGTGTATTATTAACATTACAAAATTTTCTTTCAAATAAAGAAATTTAACTTTTTAATATTTCAAACGTCGAAATGAATGAAAATCATTTTTATCAATATTAATTGCTGGTACAGAATTGTTTGATTGTTGTACAAATGATGTTTGATATACATAAGTTAATTTAGCTGTTTGAGAATGTTGATTAGTCCATTCAGTAAGAAATATAATTTGTTTATGCTTTGGTGGAATACAATCATGAGTTATAAATGATTGACGTGAACTACGTATATACATTGAATCATTCATATCAATATCTATATTTAAATAATTAGTAGATGATAAATTTTGTGCAATAAACATTACAAAATCACATCGTCCTGGTGTTGAATAATACTTAAAATCTTTATGCTAAAAAAAAAAAAGAATAAAAATAAACAAATATTTTCGCAAAAATATGATTAACTTACATAAGATCTATTAAAATTTTCTTTTGGAATAGTTGCAATTAAACAATCAGTTAAAGCTGTTGCTGATTCATTAATAACATGTAAATCAATTGGAATTTTAGAATGTATAACAAGTGTATAATCTCTTATCGATGCATGATTTTTTTCATCCCAAAAACTAGTAGAAAATGGAATAAGTATATAAGTACCAGAACTTAATGAACCTGTCCAATGTGTAAATCCACCACGATATGTTTGTAATATAGCAACTCGTGTACCAATAGCTTTAGACGGTTCATGTTCAATATTACATAAAACAAATGATTGTATATGATGAATAACTGATTGACGTCTTTTACAATGATAATGTAAACTAATATCAACTATTGATGTTCTAAAGGATAAAAATAGTATATGTAATTTATTTTAATGTGAATATAAAATTTCAATAATAAACTATTAAATCTTAACAAAAAGAAAAATGTGATAATGTGTATCATAGAAATTCTTATTTACACACTAAGAAAATTATTATTAATAAGTATAGATAAGAAGTTCTTTTGAATTACTATATTAGAATCAATGAGTATTAAGAAAAAGATTTCAACATTACAAATAATTTGAGATTTAATTTATGACAGTTTTCTACAAATATAAAAAAGTAAATTGAATTTGAATACTTCTAAATAGAACTTATACATTTTATAAGATAGAAATTGTATTAAGAATCAAATTTAACTTTTTTTCTTCTTTTTCAATAGAATATTAATAATAAAATCTTACTTAGATACATAAAAATGAAATGTTGGAATTGGTTCTATTGATGATCGAGTAAATTTAGCTACTTCACGTACATCATAATAATCATTAGCATATGATGATATTGTAATAGAATTAAAAAATTGAAGAAATACAGGCCATGAAATCCAAAAAGCACCAGATGGTAAATGAAATGGAAGTATCGAATTTAATTGACTAAGAATCGATGATGTTATTATTTCTTCTCTATAATTTACTCGAGCATGTGGATCTCGAACAAGTACAAATGGCATAGAAATTTCTGATAGATAATATGCAGCAAGTATTGAAAATGCATGATTACTATGAATATGTATACGTTGATATTCTTCTTCATTTATATTTCTACGGCCAGTTGTAGCACCGATTAATAAACTAAAACAGGTTTTTGTTTTTTCTTTTTTTTACAAAAAACCGAGATTCATCTGAGAAAATCTTAACTTACTGAGCTTCACAAGCAGATAAAAGTTTTGCCCAAGCAATATTACTATCAAGTATATGATCATGTGGATTAAGATCAATATGAGTACATGGAGAACCTGTTAATAATTGTAGACCTTCTTCAGTTTTTCCACCAATTAAATCTGCATATGAACCAAATAATTTTGCACATGCTTTTTCAATTAATGGAACATATAATTGACGACGATTTGCTTTTGAATATGCTAATTGTTTATCTTGTGTACATGGAAAACAATCATCAACTACAATTGTTTTCCATAAACCATGATGACATAAACGTATAAGATAAACACCTTGTGCATTAACTTCTTTAGTTAATACAATATGTTCAAGCATTTCTGGTCGTTCAGTAATTAAAGCTAAAGCAGCTAATAACCAACAATCACCAAGTTCACCTTGTTGAATATCACTTGGTTCAGATGATGATAAATAAACACTCCATGATAAAAAACGATCTGTTAATGATAATGAACGTATTTGAGAAATTCTTAACCATTGATATGAATGATTAATATAACCAATTGAACCAGATGATGGAGGAAATTGATCATCAACAAAATGTATTTTATTCTTATATAGAAAAAAAATTCATATACAAAAAAATAAATAAATAACAATTCGAATTACTTTTCGACAATATGATTGAATACGATGAAAGAGTTTTTCAGCATTAATTTCATCATTATTTTGTCGATCATGAACAGTAACTGAAATCGATGTTGTTGTTATTGATGATGATGATTTAGATGTATTAATAAGTTGCTTAATAAAAAGAAAATCATTTAATATTTTATTTTTTTTTAAATAATAATTATATTACCGATGAATTATTAGCGGAATTATATTTAGTTAATGAACTATCTGATTGTTCACACATTAAACATGTAGGATATGCTGATACTGGATTGAGATATGTACAAAATTGACATGACCATTTATTTGTATTATCAACCTTCTTAATTTTATTCATTATAATTTAATCAAATATAATCTACAGCTATGGAAAAAAAAATATTTATGTATAATACGTACTAAAAGCATGTGATTTATGATTATTATTTTATAATATATGAAATACGAAATAAGTAAAAACCAACATTATATTATTAGTCATTGTATTTTTTTCCGTAAATGACAACAAAGGAAAATATAATAACGGATTTTTCTTTATATTTATTTATGCTGAAAAAATCCTTGTTGACTTTTATGATTCATACGTCTCTTTTATCGTTTTTTTTTGCTATTCTTCCTTATTTTATTACGGATACGGCCGAATTAGGTTTTTCTTTCATAGAAATTTATTTTATTGACTCTTAAAAAAATCAAATAAACTATTTTATTATTCATCATAATTATATTCTTATGGGAAAAAAAGATTTTCATGGATATTTGATATGATGATTTACAACAAAAAGAATCTCGTTGATTTCAATGAGAAAATAGGTTGACTAATATAAACTATAGTTCTCTTTTGATACAATGAAAGTGTAATATATATTATTAATAGATAGATTCATGTCGCTTCTCTTAGAATTATAACCTTCAAATGATAAGACTTTTTTGCTTCTTAAATTAACAACAACTTTATTCTTCATCTATGAACAAATTAACCAAAAGGTTCGAATGCAATTTCTGTAGAATAAAAAATAAAAAAAATAATTTTAATATTAAACAAGATTTTAGCAAATATGATCATTTATTAAATATAGAAAAGTTTTCTTTCTTGATTAGCAAGTAAAAACTTTGGGAAATTAGTAGTGATCATAATTCCTAATGTGATGAATATTCAAAATTATTGATTATCATGTGATTCTCTAACTCAACATAATAATCCGGTGTTCAAATTTTCTCTCTTTACTACTGAAAAACAAGAATAAAAAAAAAAAAAAACCTAAAATGTTTCTTAGAGTTCAGTTGTATTTTCACTAGAATATTTTTGCTTCAATTTTTCTTTTTCATTATTAGCACCAGTTTCATCATTGTTATTTTGGGCAAGAAAATCTTTTTCATTAACTTCTTCAACTTGTAAATATCGTTCACCATCAACATTAGTCCAATATTTATTTCTTGGTAAATTTCGTTCTTCAGTTTCCATTTCATTTTCAATTGCAAATACAATACGTGCTCGTTCTAAATACCTATATATTAAAAACAAATTCAAATTTTACAATAAAAAAAAAAATATATATGTATATATATGGGTGAATTGCAAAATTATTGTACTTCCAAATGTAAAACTTTAATAACTTCAGTTCCTCTTGGTCAATCTTTATGAAAATTTCAGGTTATGCTTCCGTAGTTAATGCTCACTACCACACAAAAAATCACGAATTTATCACTAACCCATCCTGAGATACTCTATACACAAGGTTAAAAAGATTGACTTTTGCTACCATCTATTGATAGAAAATGATTCATACTTGATTGGTTTCCTTGCCATTTGAATTTTGACAGTTGGTGATATTTATAGTTGACAGTGTATACGTTGTGGATACGAGACTGATTGGTTCTTTCATCACAGCTTATATTACATTTTTTTCTGAATATCACATACACCGTCCATGCTCAATATGATGTCACACGAGAATTAAAAACGCCTTTACTGTATAATAAAGCATTCAAAATTTATCGGATGGGTTTTGAATGAAGGCTTATCAATGGAGGATAAAACCACGAAAGACGATGCTAAACTTTTACTTATTCTTGTTAAGAAAGGGATACCAAATATAATTGTCACACGAGATTCTTTGGAAAACTATTAGTTAAGATTTTTATGTGTATAACTGCCTCATAACTAACGCTGATGTAAATACATTACAAGTTACTTGATTTCCTGTTCAAGTAACTATCAAAACCCGTGCAAGTACCCTCTAGTTTATTTTTCAGATTTCACACACACACAAATTCAGTGATTGTATATAACAAATAACACATTATTAGAATTGTATGATCTAGCTTTATTGAATCAGACTCTCAATTACATTCGAATGATTTAAGCAAAGTTGTTTCTATATATAAACTGAAATATTTTCAGTGCATTCTGTAAAACTCCCGTATTTAAGTAATTTTTTGACATAACAGCTATACAGTAGCATTGAAGGATTTTTCATAGATTTTTCAATGATTTTCGTATATCAGAGCCATACTTAAAGTGGTAGTCGGGAAAATTTATTCTTTTTCTCTTCTCATATAGTACAACTTTCAAATCGAAAATTTTTTTTCATGCGTTTTCTTTCCTCAAAACGGTACAATAATTTTGCAATTCATCCATATATATATATATATAAATAAATAATTTCTATTTACTAACCATACTTGTGTTGCATCTTCAATAATATTTCCATATGTATCACCCATCATAGCAACAAGTAAATTAAGTAATAAAATTGTTACAACAATTATATAAATGATAAGAATTAATACATTCAAGTAAGCATATCTTGTAGCTGTATAAGCATCAAGATCAAAATCTCCTAACGTGCCTAAAAAACATTGTTTAATACTAACAATGAAACCAGTAAAACCTAAAATAGAAAAAAAAAAAGATTTCATCTTAATATTTTCTTTTATTTATTTTCTTACCATTATAATTAAATAAAATGAAAAATGTTTGTGAAAATCCCATAAGAAATACTACATAAATAATGCAAAATCGAAGAACATCATTAAAAAGCATTTCATATATCATCACAACAAATGGACCAGTTAATCGAAATGCCATAACAAAAAAAAGCATATAACCCCAACCAAGTAATGATGCTATTGCTAAACATGGGATTTCAGCTTCCATACCTATTATTCGTAGAATATTAACCGTATAAATAGATGCACAAAATGAACATGCTAAACAATTTTCAAGAAAAGCAGAACCCTATAGTTAAAATTAAATAATATATGTATATATATAAGAATATATATATATAAATTAATTTTACCGCTGTTTGAAAATATTTTCGTATACCTAAAGTTCTTATCTCTTTAAGTTCACCTTTGCCTTTCCATATAGCTCCTGCTAAGACCAATAAACGACCTATACTACATATTGTTTGACAAATTATTCCTGGTGATTCAACACTTATTGTTACTGCGTCATCACCTTCACCTTCAGTCTACAAAAGAAAAACAAAAAAGAAAAATTTAAATCAAAGATTAACATATATCAACTTGATTTAGCAATACGAACGAATAATTTTATGCAATATATTTCAAACTTGTCTACATATTAAGAACTTTTATATCATTTTCAAGATTGATCGTCATTATTTTTTTGTTTTCGATATTAATTAGAGCAGTTTTTTCTACTTGTAGTAGTTCAAAGTCGTAGACGCAATTCATATAAATTAATTGCGTAATCAGAAAAAATCTGCAAGAAATAGGTGGCTCAGCCTTTCCAATAGACTCTAGTCGTCTGAGAAATGTATATGATGTGCTAGTCACCGTATACAAAAAAGCCAGAAAAAGGTATCTCATATGTAGCCACCGTTGAAGAGATTTCACCAAAATAAGGGAAATAGTGTGAAATGAGTCAAGGTCATGGGCAGGAGAGTCGTCATGATCAACCAATAGAACTGAGCGTTGGTAAAGTATGGAAGTTCCATGTTTTACTGAAGCTGAAGCCCATTGGTGTATCATTATGACTCTTGCGGTCTTGATGTATTTCCCACTGTTTTCTCTTATCTCGGTATCATACTCATATCTTCGAAGTGACTATCCAATTTCGATTAGAAAAAATTTCATTGAGGGTATCAAAGTACGGTTCGGTCGGATCGGGGCCTGGATCCGAAAATTTTGTACACGATGCACTAAACCTTCTGGCAATATCTGCATGGGAGGTGGAGACCATTTTTAACGCTTCCAGAGAATAGCCCAAGTCTTTTTTTAAGCAAAACTCAATCGTTTGTAGCGGAAGGGACAGGTCTAAAGCCTTTAGAGGAGCCTAAACCCTTCTAGTCCTTGTCTGATTACGTCACTAATAAAAAGCAATCTATTGGATAATGCTTCATTAACTATTAACTGTATCTTTCCCAATGATGAGCCCATCCAAGGGACTTCTTGGGGAGTGCCTTTTTTCGTGATTTTATTCTACAAAGTGTATAAATATTTTAAAATATGTACAAAGCTATATGCATTGACAGAGGAGACATACAGCTAAATAATTGGTTCCAGGAATGTCTATCTAATACAAAGAGAAAGAAAATCAAAGAATAAATACTAAATGCTTTGCATTTCAGAATAGAAAATAAAAATAGATTATTCAAAAGTACGATTTATGAACGGAGCTCCGAATCAAATTTTATTATTTAACATATACTTTTCTTTTTATAAATAAGATGCTCAACGGTAATTATGATATTTTCATAAAGAAAAAATAATATTTTCTTTTTATTTAAATTGACCTGAACAATGTCATCAATAGGTAAATATAAATCTTATCAAATAAATAATTTTTTTTTTCTAAATTTAGATTGAACTCAGCAAAATGATCAAGAGTAAATATTAATTCAAGTGAGTGAATATTTTCCTTGCTTTTTCGATAGAAGAGCTGGAAGAGAAGAAAAGGACGTAGTGAAGATCGAAAAGAAAGCAATAGAGCAAAAAATTTCAGTATAAAATGCATTGGAAGATTCCATAAAAGCTTCGATGAATATTACAAGACTTTACAATAAGATCATACAAGAATGGTACTGTACGATTCGATCAGAAATGCTGGTTTTAAGATTGGCATATAAAATCGTACAAGATCTTTTGATCTGAGTATCTGTGCTGGATGAATCTATGAGGTTTCTACCACTTTTATGAAAAAAAAAAAATTTTCTTTCAGAACATGGACATAGAATACCTTTCTTCTACAAAGTAGTAGAAATCCTCATGAATTTACTCTGCTATTATTTTGAAAGTTCTTTTGCTAGAAAGATATTGAAAGTTTATTTTGTTGAAAATACGGATGAAAAACAACGACGAAGGAGCATAGAAACCTTTGTAAAATCACACGAATACGGCATTCAGTGATATATAAAGGGCGATATTCGCACATTCCCTTGGAACATTCCTATGCAAGGGACTCACTAGTGACTGATACCGTCATTCTCTAAACAATCCCTAGAAGTTCCCGATAAATTCTCAGGGAATCCCGACAGAGAGTCCCTGGAAAATTTTATTACGGACTCCGAGAAGATTTGTTATGAGAGAATTGACTAGGAACGTACCCTCATGTAGATATTAAAGGTTAATCATGTGGGTAAATTTTTTTTAAATTGTTCAGTCATTGAATTCAACTTTCAAGTTTAATGTGTGTGACAGATTCAAGCGTATTGAATGAACATATAGAAAAGAAAATATCATAACTAAAATATGATATTATTTTATATTAACTCATATTTTGGATTTCTTTTATTTCATCTATTGTAATTTCAATATTTTTTTTCTATAATTGACAAATATCATTAATGTTAATAATCTAGATTTTTCAACATCGAATTATTATAGTAAAGAAAAATAAAATCTATGTATTACCGTTTCTGTTCGTGTTTGATCAAGTATAGTTGTAATAAGAAATATTAATAAATACGACAATGTAATAAGAAATCGATTAAAAAAAATTCGTCTAGCAAATCGTTCCCATTTTTTATTAACTAAATCAATCATACGTGGATGCATAACAAGTTCAACATGGGCATTTTGTACAATTAATTCAAGTGCACCAACAGGTGTTTCAAGATTCTAGAAAAAAAGAAAATAACAATAATTTTTAATGAAAAAGAAATTTAATATCAAATATGTTTTTTTTAAAATGTTTTTACCCCTTCTCGAAAATCTAAATCGACTTGATCAAGTGGATAAAGTACACATGCAACAGGTCCAAAACTCCATTGAGTTATTTTACGTTCCTCAAGTAAAAATGCAAACATATCAGCTTGACCTAATTTAGCAGCTAATGTTAATGGTGTATAACCATCTTTATTTAAGCGTTTCCATAATGGAGTAACGTGAGCTTTCTCTAATTGATAATATTCATCATCATCTTCATCACTTGACTCGTCTTCTGCTTGTTCTTCTAACCAACGTTGTTTAAATGTAGTATACATTTCCGGTAAATTACGAATCACAAGTAAATGTAATATATTATTTCCATTTGAGTCAACCTATATGATTCATAAATTTAGCAAAAAGAAAATAAAAATGATCATATGAATAACAAACTGCATCCATAGAAGCACCATATTTAAGTAAAATTTCTGCTATATTCCATTGATTAGTACAGCAAGCAAATGCCAATGGACTTTCACCATAATAACAAGGTCGACCTCTAATGAAAATTTTTTTTTTTATATTGATTTGTAAATAAATATAAAAACATACACTCGAAAAAAATGTCCACTAGCAGCTGCTGTTAATTGTTGTTCTTCATAGGCTTTATTACGTTCATCACCTAATAACCATTCAACCATAGTTGGATTTCGTTTAATAATTGCAATATGAAGAGGTATTTCACCATAATATTCCTAAACAAAAAATAATAATAATAATAATTTTTTTTAAATAGAACACAAAAAAAAAGTATTAATAAAATTTTCTTTTTTAATTTACAGCTAGATTATAGATTTGTGTTATTGTATGTGGAAAATTTGTCATTAAATATCGAGCCAACTTAAGATGAGCTTCAGTTCCATATAAAAGTAACATATGAATAGGACATTCTCCAACAGGACCACGTGCATCAGCATGATTTGGATTATCCTCAAGAAGACGTTTTAATGCAGCTTCATCTGCTTTACGTACAGCTTCCCAAATAGTTCCACCTTTACGTGAATTTTCTGTTTGTCGTTCGACTGCTGATAATACTGATTCATCTTCATCTGGTTTTCGTTTTTCTGCATTACTTCTTTTCCTTGCCCCATTACCGATTAAACCAGTCCATATATAAGATATTAATGATGAGTCACTATCGGTCATAATTATAAAAAGTACCCTTGTTATTATTGCAAATATCTATTGTCCAATTGAGATAACAAATCTACTGATTTGCTTTTGTATTTTTTTTTCCTATTCTTTAGTTTGTTTCTTGCTGATTTGATTTATGTTTATGCGCATTTGGTATATATCATCACTCACGTTGATCAGTAGAGCGGAACACGAAACAAAAAAAAAAACCACTTCGATATGAAGGACATATGTAGTACGAATGATTGAAATAAAAATATGTGAATAAAATAATATCTTTTTTTTTTTAAATATAAATTTAACAAAATTAATATTTCGATGTTCATCAATCGTATCAATAAATATGTACATATATATATATATATATATATATGTATTCATTTTTGTGTATCATTTAAGTCAAAGACATTTCAAGGTCTTTTTCGTTTTTGAAATGTGTCATATCATATTTTTCTTTCTGTCAACAAGAATAGGTTGTCTATCTATAATTATTGCTTTTTACCTACTATATATGATTCTTATTATAATAGAATCAAAGTAAAATATGCATTATCAAACGCGATACGCATAAACAAACCATTGAAACCTTACATAAATACAGTAGAACTAAATATTGATAAAAATACGTTTTGTTTTTATATATATTTACACATAAAGTAAAACTAATATATTATTCATAATTCAAAAAACAATTCTACAAATGTTTCATAAATCAACAACATCACCTGAAGAATATTTTTCAAGACATAATCGATCACGACCACAACAAGGAGCCTTCAGTGGTCAAGATACTTCTACTAAACAGTTTTCTTTAAGTCATTCATATTCGATTACTGATTATGGTCGACAAATCTTTAACAATGCACAAACAATTTCGCCAGATGAATTAGCACATATACTTAATAAACTTGACCGTATAATAAAACATTCTCATGGTGAACAACAACTTGCAAATTTCAATGATATTATTCTTGCACTTATATCTGTTCGTTCATCAATATTAGTATCAGTTGCTCAACATAAATTTTTTACTTTATTACAAAAACCATTTAGTGAAATCATTGATCTATGGTTTCATGAAACTAAATTAAATGAGAATCAATCATTATTCTTTCGAATTATACCTAAATTGTTAAAAAGAATATTTAAACATACTCATGGTGATGATTTCTATCCATCATGGTTACTTGATTCATCATTTCTTGAGATTATTGGTAGTTCTTTTACAAATCTATCAAAATCGGAAAAAGATTTTTTGGAAAAAAGTCAAATTGAGTTAAAACATTTTACACGTTTATTTGATATTTATATTGATTATCAAGAAAGATCGAATGAAAATAATTTTTCTAATAAACATACATTAATTGAATTAATTGATCCTATTCTACATTGTCTTTCTTCACATCATTATATTGATTTATTTGACATAACAAATATAACCAAAAGAACAATGGGAAAAGAAGAAAGATTTTTTCTTTTAAAATGTCCATCATTTCTTCTATCTTATAATGGTATACGATTCTTTTATTTTTATCAATAATAAGGACTAAAAAAAAAAATCATTTTTATTTTTATTTTAGGTCCTCGTAGTGATCAAGTAATAAATAGTTTACTTTCAGCAATGTTACCTCTATATATTGATATATTTAATAAAATAATTCCTCAAATAAATGAATGGACTAGTTCAACTTTTCAAGCTGTAAATTATCTATTGAAAATGGTCAATCATAAATCAGCAAATATAGAAACTATCATTGAACATCTATCCTTTATTGATCATATATTAACTTTAGTTAATACACCAAAATTGTACAATAATCTTGAAGAAACATTATCTAATCCAGAGACAAGATTGATCGATACAGCTGCTAGTTTTCTTGCTAAAATAATGGATGAACCAACAATTTTAAGCTATGTCAAGCAAAAGAACGTGACATCTTCATTTCTTCGTTTAACATCTGTTCGATATCAGCCATTACATGATAATATTCATCAGATTCTTTCTCAAATAACAAGTGAAAAGGATATAAAATCAATGGCTAATCCAGGTAGTTTACTTTCAACAACTGTTCAATCATTAAAAACTGTAATTAATGAAAATAGACATGATGAAACTCATGTTGAACAATTACTTGATACACTCAAAGGTAAACTAAATTAAACACAACAATAAATAAATTCGACATTATTTTCTTAAGGTCTTGTTCAACATGATCAAATGAAAGAAGAAGTACTCAAACAAGATGCTCTTCCATTTCTTCTGGATTGTGCGAATAACTTCTTTGGTGAAAAATTAAAATTACTATTAGAAACTTTATGGTCGTTGTCATTTTTGAAAGACGCAGCACATGAAATTCGTGATCGTCCTGATGTTATAGAAAAAATTCAAACAATATCACAAACTACTGAGGATGAAGCAGTGAAAAAAGCATCTGAAGGACTTAATTGGAAACTAGTAGAAGGTACTAAAAATATTCCTATAATTTTTTCGAAAGAAAATGCACGGACACATCTCTTGTCCTAATAACAATTGAAGGAGAGAATACGTTGTTATGAAATCAAAAACTTTTGCTTCCTAATAGGCATCTTCTTTAGAAAATTCTTGGCTACGAATCTGAATTATTTAGCAATTATGTTTATAAATATGTTTTTAGAACCAAAATTTTTGAAAAAACTTGCAAAACAACAACAAGAAGAAAATAGTAAGAGTCCTAAAGTAATTGAAACAACAGAAGTCATCGTTGGAGAGGATGGAAAAAAACAAGTTATAACTAAAACAATACCAGCTAGTGATGCACTACCCGAACGAATATTTGACTATGATATGATGATTTCTTATTGTCATGCAGATAAAGATTTAGTATATAGAATTCATAAATTTCTCAAAGATCAAGGTTTTAAAATATGGATTGATCTTAATAATATGTTTGGTCCAGGTAAAAATAAAAGAAAAAAGATTGTTTTGCTATAAGTAAACAGGTTTTTTTTTTTTTGTAATAATATTAATCTTTAGCAATGAATGCTATGGCTGAAGCTGTTGAAAATTCTGAATTTGTAATTATGTGTATGTCTGAATCATATAAAAAAAGTACATATTGTCAAGCTGAAGCTGAATATGCATTTAATTGTAAACGACGTCTAGTTCCATTAATTGTTAGACCAGGATATAGAGCAGATGGTTGGTTAGGTTTTATGATTGGTTCACGAATTTATGTTGATTATGGTGGTTTTGATTTTGATATAGCATGTGAAAAATTAATGACTGAAATTCATCTACAAAAAAAAAAAGCACTTCCACCCAAACAAATTGTACTTTCTCATCATGAAAAACCAATGGAAACACCATTAGTACAAACAAAAGTTGAAGTACCACCCGTAGTTTATACATTATCAGAAATATATACGAAAAGAACAATTGCATTACATTTTAAATCTCGTCCTATTCATGTTTGGACAGAATCAGATGTAGCCGATTTTCTTTATAATCAACATTTAAATGAATTTATTCCTTTATGTGAAAAAATGGATGGTCCTGCATTAATACAATTATATAAAATGTGTGAATCACAACGTAATGAAACATATGCTTTACTCAATGGTGAATTGAAATCGATACAACATATAAAATTACCTCTTGGAGTTTATACACGATTTTTAAGTGTTATGGAACAAGTAGTTACATCTTTCCTAGCATCACTTTCTTATCCACCAATTGTAATAGAACCACCGAATTCTCTTCCACAAATTGAAGAAATAACTTCAATTAGGTCATCTCACTCACGTATGACTCCATCCTATGATATCTTAATTACTTCAAATGCTCCTCCATTACAAATATTAGAAATGGTTCATAATTGTGTTCTTCCAGTAAAACAAAGATCTTATAGAGAACATCGACATAAACGTAAACATAAGAAAAAATCTTTTTAGTATTTTAAGAATTATTTTGTGACATTTACTTATTTGAGTGAAAATTTAAAATATAAAAAAAAGAAAGAAAAAAACAAAACATCGAATAGATTATTTCAATGAAGAAATTTTAAATTTAGTTTCTTTCTTTTTTATTTATTGTAGAACAGAAAATTATTAAAATCATTTTTAATGAATAAATTTATATATGAATTATTACATTTTTTTTTTCTCTCATTATCGTAAGCATATTAAAATTAAATAATATATAGTATAAATAAAAATAATTGACTTTTAAATAATTGTTTAAAAATAATAATAATTAATTTTTGATACCTGAGATATATATATTTTCTTTTAAGTATACATTGAAAACAAACAATTAATATTATCATTTACTTTTGTTAACTAATAGATTATATAGAATTGTATACATCATATAGTAATCGAACATACAATTGATTCAATGATCAACTTTAATTATTGATATTTGATTGATAATTTCTTTTGAATATAATCAAATCAAGGTTTAGTATTTTACTAGCATATTAAGTAATCATTAATCACCTTATATTTGTTATCCTCTACAAGGCTTCGTATGCATGATAATTTTAAATATTTCTTTCAATAATGTTTTATATAATTTAAAAATTTATTTTTGAATTTTAAAAAATTTCTATCATAAACGAGGAAATACGAAACAAAAATTATTCGAATAACAAAACAAAAATTGTTATTTAGAAAAACACATAGCAATAGTTGTCTACTGATTTAGATAACTATCAATAGTATCAACAAAACAGAATGTTTCATTATCTAATCAAGCTAAGCCTGTTATGGAATTACATAAATAAATATTTAATAGGAAAAAAAAACAACAATCATCAAAAATAAAATATTTTTCATAAAATAGCTTTTATTTTGTATCACTGTGATAGATTATCAGATATGTATTAATACTCACTCATGCAAGGTTTCATTGCTAAAGACTAAATAAAAGTGAATCATAGATTGATATATATGATAATACTTCATATTATGAATAATTGGTTAGTTGATTGGTAATCGATGACATACAGTATATTTTATATCAGATATCTCGGAGAAAATGAACCTTTTAATATTTTATTGACATCGTCCTTGATTTTATTTGTTCACATTTTATTTTTTTTCTCAAAATATTTCTATTTTCATCCTCTACAAGAATCTATATATCGTATCACAGTCAAATGTATCTTGTCTTTATTATAAAATGAAAAAATGAAGATCTACGAAAAGTAGGTCGTTACATATAAAAAGGATGATAATTCAACCAAGATTTTTAATGATTGAAATGATTCTTTTGGGTTCATCATTACATAAAAACGGTGCACAATGATCCTTGACATCAGTTCTATCAAGCTATCGTCAACTCCGCCGAATAATCTACAGATCATGCGAATTAGTAAAATGATTTAAAAAATCAATCACAAATTCAAACAAAAAAAGATAGCGTCAATTGGAAGTTTAGCTTAAGAATACACTATATCCAGAACAAATGCTCATGGAATATTAAAAAAAGATCTCAAACTTCACGCTTAGAAGAAGACAATCGAATTATGACTTATTGATGAACCCATACATAGATGAACAAAATTGACATATTAGGTTCGCAACAGTTTTCGAAAAGAGAATACAATGCAGGTTTTGTTTTCAGACGAGAAGTGTTCGACATCGACGGTATATACAAATATAGAGAACGTATATACACTAAAATAAAATATGTCCCATTCATGTATCATTATAGTGAGTATTTTTTTTTTTGTACATGCAGTTACATGTAACCAGCTCAATTGAACATACTAACCTTAAGACACTTAGATCTTAAGATCTGATCGCTTGAGTTTGAAGAATAAGTACCATTAATTTAAATCAAACTGAAAAAAAAATAGTAATTACTTACTTCTGCGGAAAAAATGATAAATGCGCTGAAGAGTGGATTCGAGCCACATTTTCAAAATGTATCGTATTTTGTGTTGCAAAGTATGACGTATGCGATACATTTTATTTTAGTGTGTATGCCTGTCAACCACCGTGTATCTTTCGTATTTCTCCGTATATGATCGTTTACAACCATGCATGTTTGACTTGAGGAAAGTGATGGATTCAAAAAGATATGAAAATTTCCTGAAAAGATTATGGTATGATTAGATGTTTTTGCCAAAGGAATGACATCAGTGGTTATTTTGCGGCCAAGAGATATTAGTCCATGCTCAATGCATCTAAATAATTCTTCCTATAGTACTTAAATATGCAAATGAAGTCTTCGGAAAAAGATTAGATATTCCAATAGGATAGTTTAAAATCTCATATCTATCATTGAACATAACAATGATGCGAAGACAACTCTCCGTCTTCTATTGACAAGAATCATTGGCAACTGAATAGTTTACATTTAAATTCATTGTATTATTTGATATGAAATGAATTTGCCAAATCCATCAAATGGGAAATAGTAACATCGAAAGGCGTTCTTATCAGAAACTTGAAATAAGAAGTTATTTTAAAAAGTTTTCACTTTAAACTATTCGTTTGAAGCATGTCTTTGAAAATGATGCACGCTGTTTACATTAATAGGAAACATATCATTTTATAAAGAATGAAAAGACGATTTTTTTCAAAAAAAAAAAAAAAACCCTAAAAAAATGAATATTAAAAGAAATATCATTAAAATATAGAAAAGTTTATACGCCCTGAAATATTTGATATTACCAGTAGACGTTACAAAGTCGTCTGTCAGATGAACAAGTTACATAAATTACAACATCACACTGTTCTCATACACGAATGACAATTAATATGTATCATCAACAGCAAATATATAAATGAGAACAATTGATGTTACTTAAAATGACAATGTATTTGTCACAAGAACACCTTGCAGTTCTTGATATATACAGTAAAAATAATATTTAAATCATTAAAAATGAAATCATATGTTCAATTGGATAATTTTTCCATTTAACTAAAATAAACATTTTGAAACTTTGAACAGCAGTGGACAACAGTACCAATCGATCGGTCGTATGAAGTGAGCCAAAGTTGGCGTGAGCCAAAGTGGAGTCCATTAGTCCATACTATACCCACTGTAAATATATAGTACTCTAGCACCGGAAGTATCTTTCCCACAACAGAACAATACTACTCACAACTCAGAAGTGCTATTCCCAAAACAGAACAAAAGTACTCACTACCCGGAAGTGCCATTCCCATAACAGAACAACAGCACTTCCGGGTAGTGAGTACTTTTGTTCTGTTATGGGAATAACACTTCCGGGTAGATGAGTACGTTTGTTCTGTGTTGGGAATGATACTTCCGGGTTGTGAGTATTATTGTTCTGTTTTGGGAAAACGATTGGATGACGGTAAAGTAACGGCTCGCATTTTGATTGATTCATTTTCCCTATATGAAGTGAACCACAATTTTCTGGTTAGCATGTTTGGCTCACTTCACACGACCCAATCGATCGGGAAATTGTTCCACTTCAAGAAGAAATGCTTTACCCCACAAAAAGTCATGCATTACAAGGAGAAATGGAAAAAGCACTATATATATGCATCGATGACTCATTGTTCTCCTACATATATTCCATTTCTCAGTGTCTATTATACATTTTCACTGGAAAGGATAGAAACGGTTCATTCATTTCTCCTAGAAACTTTTCCATTCCTACTGGAGAAAATCCATTTCTACTAGAATTTCACCTTAAAATGAAAAAATAAATTTATTCATTTCTTCCTCTAATTTAAGAATAACTTGATCGATTTCTCCTTATATGTTTTACATTTCTCCTTGTGAGAGTAGAAATGGATCATGGATTTCTGTTCAAAAATTTTATATTTCTGCTGGAGAAAATCCATTTGTACTAGAAGTTTTCCTTAAAGTGAAAAAATAAATTTATTCATTTTTCCTTATAATGTAAGAATAAGTTGATCGATTTCTCCTTGTGACGGTAGAAATGGATCATGGATTCCTGTTCAAAAATTTTGTATTTCTGCTGGAGAAAATCTATTTCTACAGGAATTTCTCCTTAAAGTGAAAAAATAAATTTATTCATTTCTCCTTATAATGTAAGAATAAGTTCATCGATTTCTCCTTGTGAGGGTAGAAATGGATTATGGGTTTCTGTTGAACAATTTTGTATTTCTGCTGGAGAAAATCCATTTCTACTAGAATTCCTCCTTAAAGTGAAAAAATAAATTTATTAATTTCTCCTTATAATGTAAGAATAAGTTTATCGATTTCTCCTTGTGAGGGTAGAAATGGATTATGGATTTCTGTTGAAAAATTTTATATTTCTGCTGGAGAAAATCTATTTCTACTAGAAGTTCTCCTTAAAGTGAAAAAATTGATTTATTCATTTCTCCTTATAATGTAAGAATGATCTGAACGATTTGTCCTGATATCTTATACATTTCTGCTTGTGAGGATGAATGTGGTTGATGCGTTTTTAATCGAAAAGGTCAGTATGGAAAGCGTTTCTGCTTGACTTTGTGTGGGGTAAAGGATTTCTGCTGTAAGTGGAGCAATTTCTCGATTTTGGGGGATATCGTCCAGCCCTCACTTTGAACTATCACAATGAATATATTTACACATATAAATCTCACAATGAATTTAATAGACGAAAATCGATTAAAAATGTTTAATCATAGGAATTATTTACTAATGATTACACTTAATTTGTATGATAATCAATATTAATATTATTTCTATCTCATTTATCTATATTTTAATGAACAATAAATCTGACATGAGTATTAGTACGAAATTTTTGTACCTTGATTTTATCGAGCGTAACAATTAACGTCGTAATATTCTGATTATGACCTGATGATAATTTTCTCTTTTAAATTACATATGTGATATAAATAAAAAAACGAATTTATTCAAATAAATCGACACGGTTTATTTATCCATTATTATCAAGATGAGTAATGTGATTCGAATGTGAAATTGAAAAAAATATTTTTTTTTTGACCAA